GTCACTTTCTCTTTCGTCCACCTCAGAGCAACTATACGCAAATTTAATGTATTTCTGTTTTATCTAACAGTAAACCGTTTTAAACATGAAACAGTGTATCCTTCAACAATAACATAAGGAATCCCGAACAGCGCGCGTATTTGCTCANGTGAAAGCAATGATGACAGCAGCGACGTCATAATGCAAACAGCTTACATTGCTTGCGTAGTACTAAAGATTATTGGAACGTTGAGTACTGATACCGCAGTGGATAATGAGCACATATTTTGATTTCTTTGTGTATGAATGAGGGTTTTCGCGATTGAAAAATCCGCCAGATGTTGCGTGATTGGTGGATTTTGACATATCTGTCAATGTCATGTCAAAAATAACCAATCATGCAGCATTTGGACCTCGCGTCTACGTATTGCCATCTGGCGGATTTTCCAATCGCGAAAACCCTCATTTCTAGCTCAGCGCATTAGTTGGCTTCTATATCTCTATTTGTATCGTACCCGGCGAGGGCAGGTCGGCCTGCAGCAGCTGCGCGATGACCTGCGTGGCGTCCTCGCCCGGCTCGCCCTCCACCTGCACGGCCACCTGCTGCAGCGCCGGCGCCGCGCCGCCCGGCATGAGCTGCGCCAGCTGCGACGGGTCGATGGCCAGCACGTCCTGCGGCAAACGGCACGGTTCAATGACATTGACAATGATACTGCTGTACGGTAAAGCTAAGCGTCCACTTGTCGGTATCGTACGCAACGGACGCGTCGTACGAAACACATCGTATCGGATGTGCGATGCGTACGATGCGGACAGGTGGACGCACTTATATGAGTTTCCATATAAATAATACTACGATCCCCTTCAGGTTCAGAATGTCCAATTCCCAAAATGTCCAACGGTTTCAAAATGTCCAATTCCCAGAATGTCCAATTCCCAAAATGTCCAATTCCCGAAATATCCAATTCCCGAAATGTCAAATTCCTGAAATGTCCAGTTCCCGAAACGTCCTATTCCCAAAATGTCCAATCTACTATTATGATGGGTTTTTTTAAAAAGTCCTCATAGACTTTCTTAAAAATTAGTAATTAATAATATATTTCTGTACAAATGCGTTTAGTTTTTGCAAAATCGGCATATAAACATAAAAAAATTGTATTATTTGCAAAGAGTACGTAGAAAAAATTTGTAGCTACTGCACTTTATACTCGTACAAGTATGTATAGTTATTTATATTTTTTTATTTTGGCCTAAAAAGGAAATAATAATTTGTTATTATTTAAATTTAAATATTATTATGGTTATTTATGAAACATTTTTAAGAAAGCCTATGAGGACTTATTTAACAAACCCATCATAATAGTAGATTGGACATTTTGGGAATTGGACATTTCGGGAACTGGACATTTCAGGAATTGGACATTTCGGGAATTGGACATTTTGAGAATTGGACATTTTGGGAATTGGACATTCCGGGAGTTGGACATTTTGAAACCGTTGGACATTTTGGGAATTGGACATTCTGAACCTGAAGGTACGATCCGTTGCGTGCGATACGTCCGATGCGTACGATACCGACATGTGGACGCTTAGCTTTAATGTCAAAAATTTACTTTTTGATGCAAAAAATACCGTGTACCGGAATACGACTTCAATATTCATTCGACAAATGGGTACAAGTACGAGATAACATTTTTTATGAACAGAATTGATTACATGCACATTTTTGATCTGGATTAGACCAAACATTATAACAATCTAGAGTTGCGAGGTCTGATTAATGACATACTACCATATTTTTTGACCTCATAGAACAATAAGAAAAATATTTTTTCTTTACTTTTTGATTTTTGATTTTGGGATCAGTCCCTTGTTGACCATCATACCTTCACCAACACAAACTTAATTATCTTAAAAGCAAAGAGGTAGTAGTAGACACCAGCAAACAAACAGTGAACTACCCCCATAACAGAAACGGTTGCATTAACGGTACATTGAAATTAACCTGTATCATTAATTTACTCATTTGACATTTCATGCGATTGAATTGCGTTGCGAAACTACGTTTTACCCTAAGCGCAGACCACCGACTTTTAGTTGGCCGATAGTTGGGTCGGGTTGTTGATCAGTGTGGAGATGTATGAAAGTGCGCACCGATTTGGTATCGGCTGATTCTTCATACAATTTAGAACCAGGCCCAACTATCGGCCAACTAAAAATCGGTGGTCTGCGCCTAGGCTTAATGTCAATCTCCTCAATTTGTTATTAATCCTTTAAATTGCTATCCAAAAGATTCCTCAAACATCTTTAAAACTTAACCCATATAATCTTGTGAAGCCTCGTGCATTTTTCATAGAACCCAAATACATAAATACATCAATATACAACGTGTCCCAAAATTCAAGGATAAGCCGGCGCCGCAGGGTGGACATAGTCATGACTGCTTTAGGAAAAATAAGAAAAAAAATCTATCTCAATTATTTTTTAAGTTACACAATAAATTACGAAATTCGTCGAAAATTGACACCCCTTATGATATTTTACATTACCACGACTACAATTTTTCAAATACTTCAGTTTTTTTGTTTGTATCGGCAACTTAAGTAGTGCTGCTGTCCACCCCAATTCTTAAAACCCTCAGAATCCTTGCAGTTTTTACACAAAAGTTAATCAAAATATGATATTTCCTTAAAATTTTGAACGATTTTTACTTACACTCCACTTTGACTCGTCGTTTTGTAAAAAAACAGTATGAACACTACTGCGGCAAGCCGACAATACAAACCTAGCATTTAAAGTCTCGCATAATATTGTATTTAATGCGCGTTGAACTTTCTTCTCTCACTCTCTCTCATATTAATTAAATTGTTATTTAATTTGAAATCTACCTAATCAATTTAATTTCAAAAACCACTTACAATAGTTTTAAAAATCTAGATTTATTATAGATTCAGTAAAATAATAATATTTTATGTAATAATATCAAATAAATGTAATTTTAAATATAGTTCCATATTTTACTGAATTTTACTAAATCAATATCAACTAAACACACTCTAGTCAAGTGTAAGTGGTGTAGTAGAAACTAATCGAGTATAGTTTGGAGATGACTTTTTTTACTAAGCTCCTCCAAACTATACACGATCAGTACGCAAAATTCGTGTATAGTTTGGAGTCACAGATTTATAAACAGGCACTCCGAAATATACACGAGCAGTTTCCTATGGGTGCGTTCTGGCCATGTATAGAACGGAAAGACGCATCGATGAATTTGGACGACTCAAAATCGTTCGTTCTTTTCAGCCAAATGACACGTCCACTGCTGGAAAAATAAATAAATAAATAAATAAATAAATATCCTTGGACATTTTACACTGCGCTTCTAGTCCCAAACTAAGCAAAGCTTGTACTATGGGTACTAGAGAACGGATATAAACATACTTAAATACTTTTTTTTTTTTTGTAAATACATACTTATTATACATAGAAAACACCCAGTCCAATACAAACAAATATGTTCATGCACACAAATGTTTGTACTGTGCGGGAATCGAACCCGCAACCTCCGGAATAGTAGTCCGTTTCGAACCACTACACCAAACGGCCGACAAAAAGGCCCCTCCCCATACGATTTCCACAAATACCGTTCTTGCATTGCCTGCATGCATCCAGGTATAACTTCTCATGACCTTCACCATCACCAGATTCGTCGGTCCACTTAGTGGGAAGCCTGCCTTTATTTATGCACACATTATGATGTCCATCGGTCGCTTCACATAGTTAACTTTCTTTCATTCTGCATAATTATTGAGTTGAGGACGTACAATATAAAACACGGTTCATGTTTTGACGGCTTTCTTGTTATTTCAAGTCTGGGTCTTAGGTTAGGAGGCCCTGAACACAGAACACTTAATACCCCTGAATGTCCCTGAGATGTAGTACCTACTATTTTATCGATAGCCAAGACTAGGTTAGGCATTAGGTACATCACTAAGGCTGGGTTGCACCATCTTACTTTAACTTTGACAAACGTCAAAAATCTGTCAATCAAACTCCATACAACAACAACAAGCATCAGTTGGCGTCGTTATTTATTAGTTTTTTTTTAGTTACGGTCGAAGCCTCTTGGAGTATGAGTATTCTTTGGTCGAAGCGGTGTAACTCAGATTATGCAAATAAAAACGAACAAACTTGTATTTTTTCGTTTCTATCAGCCAGAAAGTGCAGAAAGTAAATTGTGATAATTTGCTCAAAGCAGCAGTGGACCTGGAACCTAACAGATTAGGGAAATTACGTGATTAAGTTTTTTTTGTACTTATAAACAACAAAAAAAAAACATAATTAAACAACGAAATTACATACATTACAATACAAAGGAAGCATACTACTATGCTTGCTTTGAATTATTAAAACCTCAGTGTCATGGAAAGTCACAGTGTTAATATTGTGTTTTACGTTGCCGACTCAGTTACAAACCGAAAACATTTGTTTGGAGATGCAATAACATATGCAAAACAAGGAAAAGTACTATACATTCTTTACGACGAATGGGATGAGCTGCCTCAATTATCTCAAGATTTGAATTTGGTTAACAAACATTACATGAAAATGATAAGTTTTCTATATGTAAAATCTATTGAGTCTCTTATAGAAAGTTTGTCATCTCTACCCGATTGGCAGAATATTCCGTCTACAATAATTTTAGATGATATAAATGCATACTGCCCCAAAATGCAGGACGCTTGCGGTGTTACTGCACTACTGAAACATATTGCTATAAGTTGTGCATCAGTGTTGAAGTCACCTTGCAGGATAAGAATATCAATAAATGAATCACTTGGAGAAGATTATTGTAATACGTTGAAGGAATTATATAGCATACCATGTGGACAATAAATGATTTCATTTAAAGAAACCTCTCATTTCATATTATTCCCTTAGTGTAGAGAACAACTTTTGACTACTGTAAAGTAAGTATCTAGGTAATTATTAAATGATATATTTTATAATAAAAATTTAAGTAGTTAAATGTATTACACTTTATTTACAAGTAAATAATAAATATACATAATCAAGGAATGAAAATTCGGGGCAATATTCATACTGTAACATTTTTTGAGATCACCTAAACTTCAAAACAATATAGAGCAAAAAGAAAACGAAAATTGAGAACAAAAACAGATAAAATATGTAGTAATTATGATTGCCCTTTCCCAGCTTCAGCACCCTGCCCATAGTTTTCCCAAGGAAGCCAGAGCTCCTGTCAACATCGTCGTCGAGGCCTCGCAATATTTTATCCTGGTATCGGACTTCATTGCCTATTTCTATAGACATATGCTTTAGTGTACTTATTTTACCACTGAGTTCTTCTGCCATCCTTTCATTTTCGTGTTCAAGAACATCGTCGGTAGGAGCACGAGGTATTGGCTGATACTGGTAGCCTTCGCGGGCTCGACGCATACTGCTTCTGCCTGCCGTTTTGCTGTCTAGATCTCTACTCTTCAAGATTTACACTGGATGCTTAATTGGTTTTTCTTGAATGATAAAGATATATTTAATGATTATACATTACATTTGACGACTTCCGTTAAAAAGGCAACCAACTTTAATCAATTATGAATTAATCTTACAAAATTAATTCACATTAGGTTTCGAAAGATTTGTTTTTGTAATTTCTCCAACTTTTCTTCCAGCTGACTATGATGAAATTTAGGGTGTAATTATGGCCTGAGGGTTTTTTTTAACATGACACATCCAGTACTCACTATTGGTAATAATATTAGATAGACGATTTACTATTGGTCAATAGAGTAAAATCCACAAACATCGTAGGTCATAAAACACTAGTCTTTGAAAGTGACACTTGACATTCTTGACAACAATCTGACAAATCATCAGTTTTAGCATTGACGTATATACTATGGACCGGGCATACATAAAGGTGTTCTAGGTACACGATGTTGGGAAAGGAACATGGCCGCAATATAGGCCCAGACGGCCGTTTGGTGTAAAGCCTGGTCCGTGAGCACGTAGAATCCCGTCCGATGACCCCAAGCTACCCATATTTATCGCTCGCACGTAATTATGTTTATGTTGCTGTCGCGCTCGCACACTCACTGCGGGCGCCCGTCGCACAGTCGCGACAGCAATATAATTACGCGCGAGCGATAAAGATGGGTAGCTTGGGGTCATTGGACGGGATTCTACGTGCTCACGGACCAGGCTTTAGTGGTTCGGAACGTACTATAATGCTGAGAGGTCCCAGGATCGATTCACGGCCCGGGCAGAAATTTAAATTATGAATTTTAATTTTTGTGATGGGTCTGGGTGTTACTATGTATAATATAATGTAAAGTACGACCAACTAGCAGCGATACAAAAGGTCGATACGACTTTCGAGTTGACAATACTCTTCCCATCTTGTGTTAATGTCTCGGTCTCCCACCAAAATAAAATATGTCAAAGTCAGACGGGTTCACCCATCCATGACATTGGGTTTGTTTACATTTGGTATAGATGACCCACGCTGAACTGTCCCACCAAACTCAATGACAGGGGGGCGCTACCATCGTTCAACTATATGATTTCCAACATGGCAAAAATCGGAACCAGCGATCCGGTATTGACGGTGGCGCCCCACTGTCAATGTCATCTATAGGACAGTCCAGTATTTTGGAACTATATCGCTTCTCGTTGGCCATACTTTATGTATTTAAAAAAAAATTCCTTATCCAGTACCCAAGGATATTTATTATAATTATTAAGTTTCAATCCATCTGAAAGATGGGTGTACTTAATCTATGATGCGGGCCTCAGCCAAGCATCATAAGTTACCCATCTATAAGATGGAGGGAGAGTATCAGATTTTGCTATCCTTATTATTTCATAATCTTAGTCATACAAGGTATTTCATGTAAGTAAATAAAACGCTTTGTTATAGTAAATAAAGTTTATTTATAATATAACTACACATAAAATAAAAGAACCAAGTCTTAAAAATTAATAATAATGATTATAACTACACTACACTGATTCATGAATGAGCGCAGACTGTCTGTAATAACCGTGACAACTCACTGTCTAGTTTTTCATCTAGTAAATTATGTGAGTGGGAAGCGGCATTTAGGACTGACCGTGGGGCCGTGTAGAGCCGTTTGACGTAAAAGAACATGCTAATTTAATACTTGACCGGATCTCCAGCGAGTGTTTTGCCCTACACAATCGACAAAAACATGTCAACATTCAACAAAATTGTCTACACAAAACATTGTTTCACTACGTATGTGTTTTCCACCAAGTATGGAAAGCAAAAACATGGTTGAAGCAAACTAAAATGTGTAGTAAACCAATGTTTTGAGTAGACAAGTTTGTTTAATGTTGAGACGTTTTTGTGGCTTATTCCACTATTCCCCGTTGACAATCCCCGTCAACGTTACAATAACTTTAACGCCAATTGGAGCTTATAATGGGGAATAATGAACTAACAAGTTCATTAATCCCCGTTATATTAGAATTTTATTTTTATAAGTTTTATAAGCTCCAATTGGCGTTAACGTTATTGTAACGTTGACGGGGATTGTCAACGGGGAATAGTGGAATAAGCCGTTTTTGTTGATTGTGCAGGGAAAAACACGCGCTGGAGACCCGGCTTTACAGAGACAGTGCGACCGAACATAACTTTTCATAATATGTAATACAGTAGGTACCAAACAATAGCATAGCATAACCCAGGGTTTCTCAAACTTTCGGCTCCACGAACCCTTGAAGTTTCCAAGAGACAGCGAACCCCTTAACTAGCTATTTAAGCCCAAAGAAAATAATAAAATTAACTATTGAAGAAAAATAAACACCTTACCACTCCTTTGTGTCGCGCAGTCTGGTAATAAGGTTTTAATTTCAATAAAAAAACTACCAATAAAGAGCCAAAGAAATGTATTTTTTTAATATGTGATTGGTGTGCCTGTTTCTTGCAAATGGAGTCAATTTTACGAGTAATTTTGGCCAATATTTCAACCTAAATTCTGCCACTATTACGTAAATCTTGTCGCGAACCCCCTGACGTCAAATGGCGAACCCCTAGGGGTTCGCGTACCCAACTTTGAGAAACCCTGAACCCAATAATCTCTTTGTGCATGAGTTTTTGGCGGAATGTACTTATAAAACTATATTTATATTAGTTCTGTTTATGTTAACGAATTCAAACGAGGCTTTTGCATTGTTTTGACACAAATAAATAAGGACTATATTTTTGATAATGGTTTAAAGATAATTATGCATTCTATTCTAATTCTATGCTAAAATCTTTTCACAATAATATTACACGAAATTAGAACAAAGTTGAATGTGTACAGACGACAGTAGGTCAAGCTACAGCAAACTAAGTACTTCTGTATCCCGGATTTTGTGAACGACTGGTGATAACATTTCTCCATACATTGATATGTCATGAGGAGGATAACGAAACAAAATGCTCGCCTCCCGTAGCCACAAACACGGTTGTAAAGATTACACAACTGTAATTAAATTGACGCAAACACAACCTTTTAATAATTCCCACCTATTATAAAACGATACTGAATTAAAAATCATTTGGGGAAGTTGATGCTTTTTTGAGATGTTGGTTAGACGAAGATTGCTGCACCACTCCTTGGAGGTTTTGCATATACATATTTTGAATTGGCAGAATCTTTTACAATTAATATTAATTACATCAAAATAATAAAAACATAATTCTACTTCATCAATACATGCCCTTCCACCATCATCCATGTTTTTGAATCTGTACATTACACATTTCTCTCAATACTAGGACAAACACACCTATATACAAATAGTCTATATTAATTTTATATCCATTAAAAGATAAGAATTAAGGCTTGTTTTAGTGACACGCTGAGCATTGGCATTGACAAGCCAAGTATAGTTGCTTGCTATGAACGCCATTGAGCGCTGTTGCCTACAGAAAACCGCTACCTACCGCTTAGTAGAGCTCAAGCACCGGCGTAATATCATCATGCTGTCGCATTTACGTCAGCACGATACATAACGACTCTTATTGACAACCTAAGTGCCGAAGTCTCAGCGTGACACTTAATTCAGCCTAAGTACCTTAATTGATGCATTTTTAGTTACATTTACAATATCCCGAATTAGAGATATTGTAAATTTATTAAAATTCTATGTAAGACTAAAGTCGTATTAACAATTGTATCTACACAACTTATAATAATTTAATTTTATGGTGTGAATTGTGGAAACCGCATCATCTCTGAAGATCTCCTTCTTTTCATTGAGTTCCACGTGAACTCGTTCGAAGCTCTGGATATGCTTGCGGTTATTATCATACCACTTTCAGGTGGTCAGTCGCAAATACACAAACTGACTGGGGTTCAAATTGAGTCTCATTCTTGCGCTTTACCGGCCTCCGTAATCGACTCGTACTGTTCTTTGTCCAGTTCAGTCATCGTTAAACTTCCATCTGGTAGTAGGAGCACTACCCGCCGTGTGCCACCTGCAACAGATTTTTAATTGTAAAAACATTCTACTAGCATATTACGCTCGTCAGCGTCCAGCAGACGCGACAGACTATTCAGAGGAGGTGTGATTTATTTGTTCAAAGGAAACTAAAATAATAATTTAACTGGATCTATAATTTCTATAATAGGATCTAGGTCTAGTTCTAGGTCTAGTTAACTGTTAACCCCGTGGTTGGGGTTTTATTGACTGTCAAGCTTTAGATCCTAGCTACACAGGAGTTGTAGCGGTGGGAACGAGAGGTGGGAATAGTCCCGTAGGTGCTAAGATAGTGTTGTGGCCACAGATCACATGGAGAAGTGACAAGGGGGCGGGGTCGGATCGCAGCAATATGCCCAAAAACAGAACACATTGCCCGTGAAAGCAATGATGACAGCAGCGACGTCATAATGCAAACAGTTAACATTGCTTGCGTAGTACTAAAGATTATTGGAACGTTCAGTACTGATACCACAGTGGATAATGAGCACATATTTTGATTTCTTTGTGTATGAATGAGGGTTTTCGCGATTGAAAAATCCGCCAGATGTTGCGTGATTGGTGGATTTTGACATATCTGTCAATGTCATGTCAAAAATAACCAATCATGCAGCATTTGGACCTCGCGTCTACGTATTGCCATCTGGCGGATTTTCCAATCGCGAAAACCCTCATTTCTAGCTCAGCGCATTAGTTGGCTTCTGTCTATATCTCTATTTGTATCGTACCCGGCGAGGGCAGGTCGGCCTGCAGCAGCTGCGCGATGACCTGCGTGGCGTCCTCGCCCGGCTCGCCCTCCACCTGCACGGCCACCTGCTGCAGCGCCGGCGCCGCGCCGCCCGGCATGAGCTGCGCCAGCTGCGACGGGTCGATGGCCAGCACGTCCTGCGGCAAACGGCACGGTTCAATGACACTGACAATGATACAGCTGTACGGTAAAGCTAAGCGTCCACTTGTCGGTATCGTACGCAACGGACGCATCGTACGAAACACATCGTATCGGATGTGCGATGCGTACGATGCGGACAGGTGGACGCACTTATATGAGTTTACATATAAATAATACTACGATCCGTTGCGTGCGATACGTCCGATGCGTACGATACCGACATGTGGACGCTTAGCTTTAATGTCAAAAATTTACTTTTTGATGCAAAAAATACCGTGTACCGGAATACGACTTCAATATTCATTCGACAAATGGGTACAAGTACGAGATAACAACATTTTTTATGAATAGAATTGATTACATGCACACTTTTGATCTGGATTAGACCAAACATTATAACAATCTAGAGTTGCGAGGTCTGATTAATGACATACTACCATATTTTTTTACCTCATAGAACAATAAGAAAAATATTTTTTCTTTACTTTTGGATTTTTGATTTTGGGATCAGTCCCTTGTTGACCATCATACCTTCACCAACATGAACTTAAAAGCAAAGAGGTGAGGTAGACACCAGCGCAAACAAACAGTGAACTACCCCCATAACAGAAACGGTTGCATGAACGGTACATTGAAATTAACCTGTATCATTAATTTACTCATTTGACATTTCATGCGATTTAATTGTTATTATGTATGTATTTAATCTCCTCAATTTGTTATTAATCCTTTATATTGCTATCCAAAAGATTCCTCAAACATCTTTAAAACTTAACCCATATAATCTTGTGAAGCCTCGTGCATTTCTCATAGAACCCAAATACATAAATACACCAATTTATAAATAAAAATAATTTCACATTCGCATAAAGCAGGCCTTGAAAAACTACTATAAATTACATTGAATGCTAAGTTACATTTTTGTGACCAAATAATCGACATAAAAAACTTAATCAGGATCATCATGCTGTAAACTTTGACATACCAAGATCACTAGCGGATCAGATGCTAATATAACGTGTCATACCTGTCCGTCCTCCCGCGTGACGTACATGACGCCGTCGCCCTCGCCCTCCACGGCGCCCTCCGCGCCCTCCGCCGCCACCAGCAGCGTCTGCGATCGTCTCTAACGTTAAGCCTCGTCCTCCAGGACGCATTCGAATCGCGAAATGTTTTCACAAGTTGCGAAGCGAAATGCAATACAATTTTGAATACAATAAATTTCAAATAAAGTGTCCAATGATTCGAGTGCCGAAACGAGCATCGCAACTTGTGCACTACTGTGGATGAGGCACACTGAGTGAGATGAAAACATTTCCAGCTCTCCAGACGTGGCTTAATTGGAATGGGCTCGCGTTATTAGTGTCACTACAAAACTAATATTAATCAGTGGGTGGAATCTATGCATGTTATTGAGGGAGGAATGTCAAAACCGGTCCACTATAAGTGGGCGCATCTCTCGTGGCACAAAAACCTGGTAGTAACACACAGCGGCGCGTGAAAATGTAGTTTACCTGTCCGTCGTCCCTGGTGACGTACATGACGCCGTCGCCCTCGCCCTCCACGGCGCCCTCGACGCCCTCCACCGCGCCTTCCATGCCCTCCGCGGCCACTAGCAGCGTCTGGCCGGCCTCGTTTTCACCCGCAACCTATGAATACATAATACATTGTTGGTGATTATAATAATAATACCACGCTAGCAACCGATACAGCTCGATAATTTTGTGTCAATCGTCGGCAAGTATTATTGGTAAAAAAANTAAAAAAAGCTAGCTAGTATCTATTCGATTTTACCGCCCGGCTCTGTTTATAATGTATAGCCTCATAATCACATAGGACGTCCACTGAACATTGTCCTAATGATTTCCATAATGATCGGCCGGTAGCGGCCTGCATCCAACGCCTACCTGCTACCTTTATGAGGTCGTCGGTCCGCCTTGCGGGTGGACGTCCTACGCTGCATTTGTGTAGCCTAATAAAACGAAAGTCTGACTTCTTAGCGGGAATGTGAAGCGTCATGTTAGCAGTTTTGTTTTATTTTATAAAATTCGTGTTTGGGCGACTATTAATGTGGATTATTAACCATTTAGTGTTCGTGAACGTGCATGAGTGTGGGCAAATGAAACAAAACAGTGCAGCGTGATTCTTCGGATTCTCTCAAGTAGTCCATATGATGTCTCAGTAAAGCACCACAACTTTACTGAGACTCAAAGGGTGGGAAGGGGTATCATCTATCATCCTTCATTATATCATTAACCCAATCCCATTTGGTCCCATTTTGTAACGTCTCATTTATAACTTGAAAATGGCACAAATCAAGTCAACCTCGACGTGTATTGCCAACATCAATAAAGAATAAACGAAAGTCAAAGTAAAGGCAAGGCAAGGCAAGCTGAAGTGGCAGTGGGCTGGGCACATAGTACGCAGAACTGACGGCCGATGGGGCAGCAAGGTTCTGGAATGGAGGCCACGTACCGGAAAACGCAGCGTGGGACGTCCACCCACAAGGTGGACCGACGACCTGATCAAGGTAGCGGGAAGGCGCTGGATACAGGCCGCTACCAACCGTGCGATGTGGAAGTCATTGGGGGAGGCCTATGTTCAGCAGTGGACGTCCTGTGGCTGAAATGATGATGATGATGAAAGTAAAGGCGTGTGCGCACCTGGTAGAGCACGCCGTCCTCGCCGCGGATCATGATGGGCGGGTGCGCGGCGTGCAGCAGCCCCACCTCCTCGCCCTCGTCGCCGCCCTCCTCCAGTAATTGCTTCACGGTGCTCGCTTCCACCTTCACCTCCTGCTGTTCAAAAGTCTCGTAAGTATTAAGTCTCTAGCGCGTGTTTTGCTTACGCTACGCTTTTGTTGTGTAGGGCAAAACACGCGCTGGAATGGCTTAACGCGTGCACACTCTTCGTATGAAAAATGCGTACACGAACTTTGTTAGTATGAATAGTGTTAAAGATGAAATGTCACGCTGCCATTAATCATCTTCTTGCGGTTTGCTGTAGTCTGCAGTCTGATAACTCGATTGTGCGTGATTCCCTCTTAGCGCAAGGTGCGATGAAGAACTCTATTATAGCTTAGATTTGATTTGAGTTTGACACATTTATTTCCAGATTAGGTGAAGATAGAAGATATACTTTCCAAGTGTGTATAGAACCCAACTTGTATGGTGTCATGCAATATTAATTTTTTCCATCTATTTACTTACTCCATCGTCATCCGTCAGCACCGGCAACGACGGCTGCGCTCCGTCACCCTGCACGAGCATGCCGGTGGTGCCACCCGGTGACATCTCCACCTAAATGTGACAAAAAGAAACGCTGAACTTTAAAGTCGGACTTCTATACCGAGTATACCAATAGAACGTTTAATGTTCATACATTGTGTAGCTTTGAGAGAAAAAAAGTCGAAACCGGTCCTGAAACTGTAGGGTCTCACTAACGGAGACATTTTTCAGCATAGTCCTCTTGTGTCTTTTGTCGATTGTGAAGTGCGCCAAAGACTAATAAAAAGAGAATAGTACCTTCATGAGCATGGTGCCCTGGTGCGGCGGCGGCGTGGGCGCGGGCGGCGGCGTGGGCGGCGGGCTGGGCGTGGGCGGCGGCGTGGGCTCGCCCTCGGCGCGCGCCAGGCGCTTGCCGGTCAGCGGGCACAGCGACAGCGGCCGCTCGGGCGACGTGGGCGGGATGGGGCCCAGGTCCCGCGGGAACGGGTCCTCGATGCCGTCCGACGTCTCCGACGACGCGTCCGACTGTGATGATGTATCAAACTGTAGCGGCGGTTGGAGGTACGCTCGAATCGACGCGGGGCGCGCGAGGCACGTCGTCGTTTGTTTTTTCGACACGTCGCTTTGTGTGTTACGGATGACGCGTTCCCCGCCCGCCACGCGGCAATAGGAGTGTACCGCAAAGCTTTTACCTTCCCGTATGCGTTGACGTTTATGATATACGATAGTGAATGAAGAATGAGAAAAAAGCTTCTTCAAAATAATAAATTATCTATCTTTACAACTGAGCGAAACATAAACATAAAATGATCGATCACTCTAATTACCTAGCTCCGAACTAAACAAAACCAGCAAAACATAAATGTCAATGACGCAGGTCCGCAACCAAAATGAATATACAATAAACGTCCATGTCCGGGTATAAACGCTCGCGCCTTCGCCGTGATACATCATCATGGGGTATGTGTAAGCCTAGGCGCAACCACCGACTTTTAGTTGGCCGATAGTTGGATCAGGCTGTCAATCAGTGTGGAGATGTATGAAAGTGGGCACATTACACCGATTCTTCGTACAAGTTAGAATCGGGCCCAACTATCGGGCGACTAAAAGCCTGTAGTCCGCGGGGAGTGTTGCAGCGCGCGGCTGACCTGGTCGAAGTCCAGCAGCTGCTGCGGCGTCTTGTCGCGGATGCGCACGATGTTGCCAGCGGCCGTGGACACGGACGCGAAGCCGCCGCGCCCGCGACCGCGCACTGAGCCGCCGCGCCGGAGTAAACTGTCGCCGCTCTGGCTTTGCTGGGGTAACGATAACAGACATACTAATGAATTTCAAAAAGTTGGGTGGAAAACCTAATTACGCCCATATTCACAAACATTACTATGAGGTCTTACAGTGCTCTGGAACGAACAGGGTCACACACGAACGAAGCAGAGCTCTATTCAACGCTGTGCGTTCGATTTGCTGCTTCACTTAAGCAAGCATCGTTTGTGAATACGGGCGTTATTCTTTTTTAATGGCCTCAATGGTGGTTACGCCAATGTCGAATTTTTAAAGAGACACGAGAATGCTGAAGTGATGAAAAAACCAGTTCTTTTTTTATTTCCATTATTTTGTTAGAGACCACATGGGACAAACTAAGCCCAACATACTTGCATTATGAAGCAAAATTACATTCATATACCTATCAAATCAGTAACGACATTCATTGACATTGATAACGACAACACAAATAGCTTTGGTTTGCACAAGTTATGGAAATTGCAAAAGTGGCAGGCTATTGATGATCATGAATACAAAATACGCACTTCGAAAGTGGAACCATCGATCTTGGTCTCGTGAGCGCGAGGAATAATATTTATACTGTCAAACGTAATTTCTAACCCATTTGCGAATGTCAATTCAATATACAAATCATATATAGACAATAAAAGCTTTGGAAATATTTAAAAAATAAACACTTACCAGTTTCTTGTTTAATATGGTAACAGGCGACTTGTCTGCCGACGTTTGGCTCACGGCGGAGGGTCTCTGTATTGTGCGCTGAATGATCTTCTGTCCCGAAGGCGTGATTATTGTCTTCTCAGTGACTTGCTGTCCAGCCGAGCCGTAAGTTTTCCTCATTTGTGGCGTGTTTGGAGTGCGAACTGGCGACTTCTTAACTTCTTCAGTCTTCTGCTAAAACAAAGTAGTGTGTTATTATTGGTAATTTGAATTAGTCATGTTATTATTTAGTCATGATACAGTAGATCACATACCTGTTTAGCAGCTAAAATTTGTTTCCTGATCACATCTTGGTCTATATTTAATCCGGGGCCTAATTTTCCTGGCGAGTCAATCTTCATTATTCCTGAGCTCTTGGACATTATGTATACCCCTACAACAAAACAATACACAATGGTTATCATCGATACGAACTTTCATCTACGCATTGCAAACAAAACACACTCAAACATGTAAAGGAATTTAAGAAGTTATTTCGGAATTTTACATTAGCAATAAAAATACATCTACCAGCAAAAATGGACATTTACCGGTGGAGAGATTCGGCATGTGCTTAGGATCGACTTTAATGACGCCCTTGATGTTCGGCATCCCTTTCCCGCTGAGGCCGAGCGACTTGACCAGCTCAGGGTCAAGCGCCGACTTGGGTGACGACTGACCGTTCAGCATTTTCTTCTCGGCTGAAATTAGGACTACTGATGAGCAACTGAACAGAGGAGCCGAGAACGTAACAATTGAAGTGTAGACGCGTAAGTCCGAGTCCATCCACAAAATATTTGTCGAAAGTTTGATAGCGACTAAAAGCGTTTGTTGGTCTTTTAATTTATTAATTTGTTTCTATCGACTTCATTTAATTGAATTGGTAATTTGAACAGAGGAGCCGAGAACGGAACAATTGAAGTGTAGACGCGTAAGTCCGAGTCCATCCACAAAATATTTGTCGAAAGTTTGATAGCGACTAAAAGCGTTTGTTGGTCTTTTAATTCATTAATTTGTTTCTATCGACTTCATTAATTGAATTGGTAATTGTCCATGAGTACACAAAATAGAAAAATAACATTGCGTGTGTTCAAACTGCACTAGCAGATTATGGAAACTGCAATTATATTAGATAAAAAAAACTTACTCTTAGGTATTTCAGGATCTGAGTAGTCCTCATCTTCCGAAGAGACTTCCTTCTTGACTTTCTTGGCTGCTGGCTCGTCCTCTGCGCCGCACCACGCCTTGACTTGATCTAGAGCGCGCACTTTACTAGTGCGTTGGAGGCGTCTACGATACACAATAATCATTGTAATAATGGTTTTTGGTACAAAAATATTCTGCTAATGTAGTTAAATTTTAATCTCACCCGGTTGGCGTCAATGCTGGGCTCTCAGGTTTCTTAATTTGCTTCACAACTTGCGGAATAGGTGTGCTGATTTGTTTCACCTAAAAAGTATAAAAACAAGTTAATTGTGTAATTAATTGTTGTTTTTAAGATATCTGTACGAAAGTCAATTTATTTCTAAATTTTGTTACCTATCCTACAACAATAATATTGATAATTATTGCTAATAACTACACTTTGTCATCATTTTATCAGAGACGTAATGAGCGCTTATTAGTTGCTATGTACAGACAGCATAATCACGATAAACGCTATGGATTCTTATGTGGTTACGGGACTATTCCCACCTCTCGTTCCCACCGCTACACTCCTGTGTAGCCAGGATCTACAGCTTGAACGTCATAAAAACCCAACCAATGAAGGTCAAGTTTGTCCCAGGGGAAAGTTAAACTATCATTGGACCCGCAACAAAATTAATCAGGAGAACATAGGAGGAATTCGAAATTAACGCCCGTATTCACAAACGGTGCTTGCTTAAGTGAAGCAGCAAATTAAACACATAGCGTTGAATAGAGCTCTGTGATTGGTTCGTGCGTCACCCTGTGCGTCCACGCGCACTGTGAGACCTCATAGTAATGTTTGTGAATACGGGCGTAAGGGTTGACTTCCCTCCATTGAAAATTCTTATGTGGTTGTAATAGGATCTATTTTGCAACAAACCTGCACCGGGTGCTGCTGCTGCTGCTGCGCTCGCAAGGCCTTGAGCTCCTTCTGGCGCGCCAGCTGCTTCTCGAACGCCTCCAACAGATGTTTGCACGTCTCCATGTTCTCCACCGGCTCCCAAGTGTTTTGCTCACTGTCAAAGTCAAACATATTTATAAGCAATTTTTTAAGACTATTGTGAACAAGACTTATCCTTTCAGACTTCTAGACTGTAATGTAGCAGCCCATATGAAATTCTTGTTTTTCAGGCCATAGTAGGGTAAAGTCACTGATGTTGGCCCCTTAAAAGAATGCCGGTGAATATCTTTAGAAGTTTTAACACTTTTGTGAATAAACTTTTAAGTATATCTTGTAAGCAATTAATATTAGAGATGGGCCGACTAGTCGCCGACTAGTCGGGAAAGCCGACTATTCGGCATCATTTGTAGTCGGCCGACTAGTGACGACTATTCGGCAAAATATGCCGATTATAATCGGCGCATTACAATATTAAATAAGTGAATGAAATAAAACTCATAATCACCAAGATGATTATGAGGTAGATCAAGGGCGTTTATCTAAACCACTTTCGACTGCAAAAATCAGTAAAAAGTGGTTTCACCTGATTTAAAATTTTGGCAATCGGTCTAAATTCATACAAAGTTAAGATGTTAAAAATACCAGGACATCATCACAAATGTGTAAAGTTTATGCAATTTGTCCATATAAAAATTATGACACTTTTTTTTTCGGGGAAAAAATGCAAGGAATTGCATACCTATCCTGCGGGGAAGTGGTAGATTATGTGGGGCTCATCTCATCGGAAGGATGAGGAATACCCACATATAATCCCTGAGTTCCGTCGATCGCCTTAGTGTGAAGAACTATGGGAATCCGGACAAAGCCATCAACTATCACAGTCCGTACCGGCAATTTCCCACCTGTATGGCGGGCCCTGCCTACCCGACGGTGGTGGTAGTCCGTGCAATGCAGGCGGGGGTACCTACTCCCACGCCCTCAGCTCGCTGACCATCACCGTGGAGGGTGGAGAGGAATCAGTGGGCCTAGGATGCGCGCCGCGATAAGCTGTTCTCACTACATTTTGTAAATTTTTCCCATACATTTTGACGTCGATAAGAATATCCTAGCCCAGCAGGAGGCGATCATATTGTCACCTCCCCTGACCCCTCTGTCGTCGAAAATTATGACATCTACCTTAGGTACTGTTAGGTGATTGTAATGTTGCTTTTTATTTTTTCTCTATTAAAGAAATCTTATTTCTCAAGAAATTTTTCTATTATATTATTATGTATATTATATTTCTCTTTGAGAAATCTAGATATTATTCTCCGGACAAGTAGGTATTACAATGATCGGCATTGCCGATTAGTCGGCCGACTAATCGGCAATTTGAAAACCGATTAGTCGGCTAGTCGGTTAGTCGGCAAAGACCATAGTCGGCCCATCACTAATTAATATCTTTTTGGCCAATTATAATAACATAAATAAGAAAAACTGCCCAAGGATATGTTGAACTAAATATTGGGAATGTAGTAGTAACAATGGTTCGTTTACCCTACTGAAGCAGTGTGTAAACATTTGTTACTGTATCCTAAGCAGCTGAATTGATGAACCTCTCAATAGTAATGCATTCCTGTTGCATAATGGAATCTCAGTCCAAGATATTTTGCTACCATTTGGCTGTTGAATTAAACATATCGGAATTTACGCCATTTATTATCAAGTTTCTGATATTAGTTATGTGACTGATAAAATTGAGGCAGGCGGACTGGAAAAATATTTAAACATGTTGTGCAAGGAACAGACAGAAATTGTGGCCACCTATTTTTACAAGGCGGCCTACATAAAATCGCGATATTGGAGCTCGAAATAAAGAAAAATATCGACTTCGCACAATCAATCAATCAATAAAGCATTTATTGTGTCAGTTATAGGTACTATTCTGGCGAAAGTATCAACATTTGGTGTAGTAGAGATAGTTCAGTTAAAAGTATAAAGCCTGGTCTGTGAGCACGTAGAATCCCGTCCAATGACCCCAATGCCCGCAGTGAGTGTGCGAGCGTTCGCACACTCACTGCGGGCGCCCGTCGCACAGTCGCGACAGCAACATAATTACGCGCGAGCGATAGGGATGGGTAGCTTGGGGTCATTGGACGGGATTCTACGTGCTCACGGACCAGGCTTTAGATAGACCTCATACATTTAAAACTTTTCGTTTTAATGAGTTCCGTGGTTTAAGACTGAAAAAGTAACAAACATACAAAGGTACCAGTTACTTTCGAATTTATGATACTAAAGGTCTAGTATCAGTAGTAGTATCTAGTAGTGCCTGAGGTACGGAAGCGGCACAGGAGGGCTGATTTTGACATAATATTATGACAGTCTTCAATCATACAAAATCATAAGTCTCACTGACATTTGACGTAACAAAAACCACTTTCCCGTGCTGCTCCAATACCTCAGTCACTGTGTTATGGGCTAGAACTATGCTAGAACCTTTTTTATCAAATAAATAATTCTAATTCTACAGCACGGAACACTTACTGCGGATATCCCTCCCACTTGAGTAAGTACTCGTACTGCTTGCGGCGCGGGTTGAACCGCTTGGCGAGGATCTTCTCCACCACGTACTCGCCCGCCTCGGCCGGGTCGGCGCCCTCGCGCTCCGTGCGCCGCGCGATGCGCTCCTCGGGCGGCACGCGCTCCTGCGCGTTGCGGACCGACTCCTTGTCCAGGTCCTATGGATGCAGATAAAAATAAATAAATAAATCTTTGGACGATTTCACACAGCGCCAGCTAGCCCCAAAGTAAGCAACTTATATGCTTGGTTGAGTTAGATACTAGGTTCTTGTAAGTTATTTTATACAGAATAGAATAGTAAATCGGGATGATGTTATATGCTCATTTCCATTGCTTAGAGTAGGCGGACACCGTTGATTTTTAGTTGGCCGATAGTTGTGCCCGATTTTAATTTGTATGAAGAATCGGCCAAATCGAATCGGCGTAGTGTGCGCACTCCCATACATGCCCATACTGATTAACTGCCGGACTAAACTATCGGCCGACGAAAAATCAACGGTGTGCGTCTACTCTTATGTTTTAAGCATCTAATTAGTCGGCACCCTCGCGCTCCGTGCGCCGTGTGATGCGCTCCTCAGGCGGAACGCGCTCTTGAGCGTTATGGTTCTAGAGTTAGATACTAGGTTCTTGCTAGTAACTACTCTTTATTATAAAATCAGTATTTGTAATGTGATATGCAATAAAAAAAAATGAAAAAATCATCATTTCAGTTCAGCTACAGGATGTCCATTGCTGAACATTTATACCTCCATCATAGTCTCCATTGCCTAAGTTTAAGAAGAATTAGCAAATACCAAAACTTCGAAAATCCATCTATTTAGCACATCAAGTCCTACTTATTTGCACCTTACCAAAAATATGGAAAGTATGCAGTAATGTTGAATGTGGCAAAAATACCCCGGTGGTATACCACCATTCATTGCACCAAATGCAATGCAAATGAAATGTATGAAGCATACCTTTTTAACATTTTGAAGAGGTGTCTTGTTGATAATCACTTTTTGTTTAGCCATACCATCACTTTCTTCACCAGAGGGCTGTGTTTCATCTTCCTACAAATTAATTCAATCATTGTCAACAAATTCATCAGTTAATAAGATATAAATCCTGTACAAATTATGCTTACAATTTTAACTTGTTTTCTTGGCCTTCCTCTTCTCCTAGTTTCTTGTAATACAGGAGTTTGGACAGGTACAAGCTGATCATCAGTCTTAACTTCCATCTAAAAATATTCATTTTAATGTAAAGAGGAGAAATATATTGTATAAATCCATTGAAAGGAGTATTAAAAAAAGAAATGTAGTAAATAACTTACCACTTTAGCATGAGAGAACTTGGATAAGGACTGAACATTAGATCCTGCAGTAATCCAAGCAGTCCGTTGCGATTCTGCCATACGGCACCATTGTTGGTACAGCTTCCAACTATTATCGGAAGATATCACGGATCCATCTCGTACTGAGGAACACTTCCAAAGGAGGAATGCCCACACTTGTGCTTTGCTTTCATTCTAGATTGGGAAATAATTACCAAATACTAAGTGTAATCACAATTCACAAAAACAAAATCTTAATCACAATGTAAAAATACTTACACTATCCCGTACTGGTGATTTCCCAGTACAATTGTTTGCACTTTTGTGTTCTTTGAACTCTTCTACGAAGTGAAACGCTGAATGACACTGGCCACAAACCAGAACATCAAGAGTTGCCATTTGTTCATGAGCCTCTGAGGAGAATTAATTAATAAATAAATAAATATCTTTCGACAATTTCACACAGCGCTATCTAGCCCCAAAGTAAGCAATTAATATGCTTGTGTTATGGGTGCTAGTTTAACGGATATACTACATATTATATACTTTTTAAATACATACATATTATACATAGTAACACCCAGACCCGTCACAGAAATTAAAATTCATCATTTCAATTTCTGCCCGGCCGGGAATCGAACCCGGGACCTCTCGGCATAGTAGTCCGTTTTAGAACCACTACACCAAACGGCCGACTTTAATTAGTTAGATTTTGTTGTTATGTTGCATAGTACTAAACTAATATCACCATGATGATAAATTATTATTATTATTTTAGCATTTATTCCAACCTTTTAGTGCTGTAGGATTTTTAGCCAGTTCTTCAGGGTTACCAGCTGGTACCTCTTCCGCCGGTGACACCCCATCTTCTTCCATGGAAGTCATGGTCATCTATCTAAAATAAACAGACACTAAACTGGTAATCAATTTCTTTTCATCGTATGACCAAAATCATAACCTTTAAGTAGGCCGGCGTCTTCCCGCCAACTCAATGATCACCAATACCACATAGCTAGAAATGACTTACGTGTTAGAAATGCATGGGATTTTTAGTGCATTGTTATTAGCATTATTTCTTTTTTATTCACTGAATATACGTGTTATTTATAAACTTGGTAATAATCGTCAGAACTCAGAAGTCACACAGATTGAATGGAACTAAGTTCACAGCTTTGCTTGCTCGGTTTGGTTGTCGTTACCGCAATAATACCACAAGACTGGTTTAATCAAACATAATTAATTAACAAATTCACCAATTTATTCGATCTATTTGATGATAAATGAAGACAATGTCACTTACCAAAACAATATTTTTTTTCTGTAATTTTATATCTCAGAATGGTACTCAAAACGGAACAAATCACTTGAAGAATCGAATATTTTATGACGAAAAAAAACGCGTCACCGACATGCGTTCACCATCTCCTGGCGTTTGCCGACATTTCTAGTTCTCGTTGTCAATATTTTTTCTATGCGCCAATAAGAATGGAGCCTGAGCAACCGCTCGACCAATCACGATTAAGCAAAATTGTGGCATAACGTAACAGACTTGCTGTGTTTAATTCGGCGTCAATTTATACCGACAAATATACCTAGGCCGTCAAATTACACCGACATTCCAATTATTGTAAAAATGGCTACTGACTGACTGCATAAAAGAGGATAATGTTTTTTCTTTTGACTTTTTGCTTTGAATTTCAGGCAGCTATAAAGCAATTAAAGAATATATTTATTTCTACAATAGATGAATAGAGGTAACGATAATTTTCAATGGAAGGAATTTTGACGACCGATGAAAAGCTAGCTAGCTAACTAGCTCTTGCTATTAAATTTACTACTGATAAATACCTAAAATATTGGTCTGAGCACAGAATGTACAAACAGAAACAATTAACGTCATTCGCCATATTTGGCACATAAGGCCACTTAACTTTGAACCTTATCGACTTGTGATAAGGTCGAAAAGCAATGTAAACCATTTTTAACATTCAGTGCCCTATAAAGGGTTAAGTCCTACCTACAAAGATAAAAGATGTACAGATGACGTATCAAGCTAAACACTGTTGTATTATTTAGCTGTAAATGCTGTAATAGATGCTATTTTACAAAAAAACCCATCATCGATACAACAGACATTATAACATAACTAATCTAATACCTTTACTTTATCCCGTAAAACAATCCCTACCATCTCTACGTAAATTTTGTTTTGGTTGTCCTACTAATCCTACTAATATTATAAATGCGAAAGTTTGTATGGTATGGATGTCTGGATGTAAACATGTTTGTTACTCTTTAACGCAAAAACTACTGAACGGATTTTGATGAAACTTTACAGTATTATTGTTTATTATAACTCAGAATATCGTATAGGCCAATGATATTATATAAAATCTATCTAAACTAATAGATCGCTGTCTACATGAAAGATAAAAGACTGAAACTTGGATTTTTTATTTAATTGATTTTCTTGGAAATTTTACACTGCGCAATTTATTGCCAAACAAATCTTACGATTAATTTAATTTATGTAATGTTCATCATGCACATAAAATAATATTTAGCACTTTAGTATATCGAACCCGCGACCTAACCGGTTAACCGGTTTAAACTTACACCAAGCGAGCGAGCGACACAGCGAATACAGCATGAAGATCTATGCTAAAGATATTAGCTTCATGGAATACAGTCCTTTTTTTTTTCGTCGGGAAATGCTTTGCGCATCCCACTGGTCTATGGGGGGGACGGCCAGGCGGGACCTACCCACTAAAACCCGACGGTTTCCACCAGAGCCCAAAGAAACGGAGCCGCGAGTTATTGTCCTAGTTGGACATTCGTCCGCAGCTCCGCCTCAACAAACTCAGCATGAGGTGGGGAGGACTGTTTTATGTATTTAAAACTGTTAAAAAAGCCAATACGGCGTTTTACCACCAGTTAACCTCTTATGACATGGTATAACAACTGCTAATTAGTTGTTTTCTCGACAATTTTAAATAATCATCAATCAATTCTTTTAAAGCAGTGGTTCTTAACCTTTAAGTCATGAGGGACCATTTTACCAAATTCCTGTCTTGTCAGGGACCATAATCGTTCAAAATCAGTTTGTGCAAAAATCTGTTAAAAGTGGTTTTAACCAAAGTGTGCAAGTACACTTCGTGGACCACTTGGAATGTCTCCAGGGACCACCAGTGGTCCGCGGACCACTGGTTAAGAACCAACTGTTTTAAAGACTAGCCCCCCCCCCCCCACACACCCCCCCGCGCAGACGTCGTCCCAGGAACGCCCTCAGCGATCCCGNATTTTTTCCCCAAAGTGGCGATTCTTTTGATGCCATCATGTAGGGGACCTCAAACCAAGAAGAAAAGGTCATGTACTTCATCCCCGTAGGACCAACCCCCGACCCTCTAGAAGCGATTCAAGTTTTACGGTTTTTCCAAAAAGTTCTAATTTTCGTAAATCTATGCTGTCATCGTCTAGAGGAAGTCGAACCAAGGAGAAAAGGTCATGTAGCCCACCCCCGTAGGACCAACCCCCTCCCGTGTAGAGACGACTGAAGTTCTAAAGCGTGCTTGTATAGGAACCGGGGCGCGACACTTAGAATAATTTCGATCAAAAAATTTTTTCCCGAAAGTGGCGATTCTTGTCCCCTACATGATGGCTTCAAAAGAATCGCCACTTTCGGGAAAAATTTTTTTGATCGAAATTATTCTAAGTGTCGGAAGCCACCTTTAATTGGCTCTAAATCTGAAAGCGTTTGTTTTAGAGAGGTAGACCATATAAGCTTTTGTGCTTTGTTTTACGTCTTCTATGCGATTCTTGCAAGAAAACAAGGAATAANCGATAGCCTACTTTATTCTGATGAATAAATGTCATTACAAGTTTTTCTCTAAAACTGATAGTTTGTCTAGAAAAAAAAATTTTCTATCCACGCAGTACGCCGGCAGCGTTCGGATCGGATATAATGACGTCATCGTCCCCGCGCCGGGCGGTCAGTGAACTTTTTTAGTAATTTGGCCATAACTTCGTCAATTTTTGTCGTAGAACAAAAATTTTTGGACTGTGTATTAAGGATTTCTTAGCCCTATAAATCTGCATTCACAGCTAAAAATCGAAATGATCCTCATTTGGCACATATGGCCACTTAACTTTGAACCTTATCGACTTGTGATAAGGTCGAAAAGCAATGTAAGCCGTTTTTAACATTCAGTGCCCTATAAAGGGTTAAGTCCCCTACCTACAAAGATAAAAGATGTACAGATGACGTATCAAGCTAAACACTGTTGTATTATTTAGCTGTAAATGCTGTAATAGATGCTATTTTACAAAAAAACCCATCATCGATACAACAGACATGATATAACATAACTAATACCTTTCCCCTAATCCCTACCATCTCTACGTAAATTTTGTTTTACCATGCGGTTTTCCTACTAATCCTACTAATATTATAAATGCGAAAGTTTGTATGGTATGGATGTCTGGATGTCAACATGTTTGTTACTCTTTCACGCAAAAACTACTGAACGGATTTTGATGAAACTTTACAGTATTATTGTTTATTATAACTCAGAATAACGTATAGGCTATAATTGATGACGATCTGTGACAAACAGAATTTCACGCGGGTGAAGCCGCAGACAAAAGCTAGTGAAAGATCAGATCAGATCAAGAAAAGCAAATCTATCTAAACTAATAGATCGCTGTCTACATGAAAGATAAGACTGAAACTTGGATTTTTTATTTAATTGATTTTCTTGGAAATTTTACACTGCGCAATTTATTGCCAAACAAATCTTACGATTAATTTAATTTATGTAATGTTCATCATGCACATAAAATAATATTTAGCACATTTGTATATCGAACCCGCGACCTAACCGGTTAACCGGTTTAAACTTACACCAAGCGAGCGAGCGACACAGCGAATACAGCATGAAGCTAAAGATAATTATTATCTTATCTATGCTAAAGATATTTAGCTTCATGGAATACAGTCCTTTTTTTTTCGTCGGGAAATGCTTTGCGCATACCCACTGGTCTATGGGGACAGCCAGGCGGGGCCTACCCAATAAAACCCGACGGTTTCCACCAGAGCCCAAAGAAACGGAGCCGCGGAGTTATTGTCCTAGTTGGACATTCGTCCGCAGCTCCGCCTCAGGCTAGAGGCTCGCTCACGAGCGAGCCTCTTTGGCTTCGAGGGAACTCCGAATCCCCTCCTCCAGTTGTTTTTTATAGAGGTTTTCTCCTCGCGGCCCTGGTACAACAGGACCCCCGACCCGCCGTAGCGGGTTACGGTCTGCTCTATGCCGCTGCTCGGTCAGCTCTGCTGATCGGAGAAGTACCGAGAGCGGCCCTCCAAAGAATGGGCCCGGGCAAACGCCCCGCCAGCCCCCACCTGTGGGGGTTTTTTAAAGATGTCCCCTGCATCGTGGCCCTGGCAAATGCCTCGACGGCCCCCGGCCCCACTCAATTGTGGGTTACGGGTTGCCCGACAGGCCCGCCGGGTTGACGAGACCTGCCGCGCAGGTGAGAAGTTAGCCGCCCGCGTGAACAGACCACACGCGGACGTTGCCCAGGGTGCACCACGAGGAGGTCCCTCACCATCGCACCCCAGCGAATACAGTCCTCGCATAGATTGGCGAGGTTTATGAAACTAGGGTCCAGTTGACCATTGTTGGCACCCTTTTTGCGCTACGGAACCCTGGAGGCCACTTCCACAAAATTTTAAGTTTATGCGAAGCATTCTGTGGTTTATGATATTTCAAGCTGTTTCAAGCCAGATTGTTTCATGCGTTGTACTTTTTATCTGACATTAACATAATATTGTGGAGTTAGAACCTAACTTAGGAAAAGACGCATCTTTTAAATTCAAACATTTTCGGTAGTAGGTACATAGTTACGAAGTAGTTAGCAAAGTAAATAGTTACCAAGAAACAAAATCAGCAACATTTAGTTAGCATGAGGTGGGGAGGGTATTTAAAACTGTTAATTATCTAGCCAATATAACAAATACGGCGTTTTACCACCAGTTAAGGCGATTAGAGTCCTCAATCCGCGCCAAATGGGCATTTTGTAAAGCCTACTCCTCTTTTACTGCTGGATAGAAATAGTTGAAAAAAATATATGTTATAGAACAGTTCAAGGACTACATTTGTGACGTTTGAATTTTCGCTACGTCTCTTTGTTTTGGATTAAAAAAATAAATACGGGACATCGATTTTTTACTTAAATTCCCTACTCCTCCAAAACGGCTATGTTAATTTAAAAGATTTTTGCACGAATAGATTAGGAATTCTTTAATCTTTAAATGACACGTTGCGTTTTTCAATCGAACATTACTTTCATTCATAAATTTTACTTTTGATAAATTCCGAATGTTTTGCTGTTGAGGGGGCCTTCGCGGGGTGCGGGCGGCAGTCGGCCGCTGGCCTTCAGACGGGGAGGTTGTGTCACTCGCTGCAAACTGACATTAGCGATCAAAATGAATTTTTTCTTTGGCTGAGTTGCACCACCTGACGTGACCTAACTTTGACCGTAGCTTTGGCGATAACCGGTGTTTTTTGTATGGAGTTAGACAGACTTTTGACGCTTGTCAAAGTTGAAGTAAGATGGTGCAACCCAGCTTTTGTTCGACAATAGATTTTATGTCAGAATTATTCATAGAGTACGTGCAGTCAGATGATACAATTGAATTATGACGCGCTCAGACGCTATTTTCTACCTGAATAGAATCTATTAGTGTAAAAAAACTATAATTGACTCCAAAACAACTGCACTAGATAAATACAAGTAGAAAAATTATTACGTTATTTATTTACTAGGCCTTTGCAATCAGTATCCAAATTAGGAGCTAGTCAGAATCTGTAACTTAATCGATTTACGTGAAGAAAACAATTTATATTTTTCATACTTATTAGAATTAGATTTTAAATATGNGAAAAAGCCGCTCCCGGCTATCAGCATAGGCCGACCGAAAAAAAAAAAAAAAATCGCAACCCCCCCGCTATACGCTCGCTCATGGCTGAGAGGTCCCGGGTTCGATTGAAATGATAAATTTAATAATTTACGAGTAATAAGTAGTTTATCCGTTATGCTAGCAGTAACTCAAGCTTACTTTGGGGCTAACTGGCGCTGTGTAAATTGTCAAAATTCATCCAGCTGCATTGTTCTGTTCAGTCCACAGTTTCTTAGACCGACTTTAAATTTTTGTTACAAAATAGGTAGCACGTATTACAACAACTTAGGTTTTATACTTATGATGCACGAATAAATGCATAACGTGGCCTCTCATTATGGGCCTTTTTTGGAAGGTTACATTACAGTTTCACAGCGTGCTATAGAGAGGCTATACTTTGTGTTTCTTTATGAGATCGGATCAGAAATGAAGAGATCTGAGCCCCGATTACGGTAACTTTTAACGTCTACAATCCAGACGCGTTTCTGATTCTGCAATACGATTGGTCAAAACAGCTGACGTACGCTGTTGAACGACCAATCGTATCGCAGAATCGAGAAGCGTGTCTGGATTGTTGACGTTAAAAATTACCGTAATCGGGGCTCTGTAAATGAACTAAAGTCGCTGACCAAAACAAGTCAAACTTAAGTTGCATATCCCGCACATAGCACACAGAACTGTCGGCCGTTGAGGCAGCGCAAGTTTCTGGAGTGGAGGCCACGTACCCGCAAGCGCAGCGTAAGACGTTCAACGACTCGTTCGACGGCTGAAGAGAGACATAATTGCTAATGATCATGATCAATCCAACTGTTCGATTTGTCGACCTAATAGATGCTAGTTTTAATACCATAGATAATGGCTGGCTTAATTTCGATTCGTAAAAAAATATTGTCTCATTCTCTATGGTTTTTAGCGACTGAATTGACGCATCGTGGACGCATATTCGCGCCGTATATTTTTGTTTTTCGTATAAAATTTGTAGCCTGTGAGTACCTAACATACTTTTCCAGTAGTCTAATTATTTGTTTGATCAGTGTTATAAAGTTTTTTAACTATTCCAGAAAATGTCGGGAATAGCCAGTGCACGTTTAGCCGAGGAGAGAAAAGCTTGGCGTAAAGACCATCCCTTTGTAAGTAACACATCAAAGGTACCAAGTGGGTACCTGATCAATGCTAGGCTGTAGTCTCGTCAGTCAACATTTATAAATCTACTGATTGACATTGGTTTTTAGGGTTTCGTGGCTAGACCTATGAAGAATCCTGACGGTTCTTTGAATTTGATGACATGGGAATGCGCGATTCCTGGCAAAAAAGGGGTTAGTATGGTCATAGATTTATTACAGACTAAGTACGGGACTTCTTTAACTTTGCGATTAGTATTTCTTGCAATGTTGTTTATTAATGATACTTTCTAGCAAATCCACATCTGCCAATGTGTATCTTATTTGAGCATTATAATGCAATTTTTAAATACCAGTGCATTTGAGTAGAGTTTCAGTACTCAGTAAAGTATAACTCAATTATTCTGCTGTACTCTACAGACACCATGGGAAGGAGGATTGTACAAATTGCGCATGATCTTCAAAGATGACTACCCTTCAAGCCCACCAAAATGCAAATTTGAACCTCCACTATTCCACCCCAATGTATACCCGTCTGGAACGGTTTGTTTGTCCCTGCTTGATGAAGAGAAAGATTGGCGTCCTGCAATTACAATTAAACAGATCCTTCTTGGCATTCAAGATCTGCTAAATGAACCCAATGTCAAAGATCCTGCTCAAGCTGAAGCATACACAATTTACTGGTTTGTATTTGATTGTCATAGCATAATACATTTTCCTTTTATTACTGTTGAAAGTTAGTACTTACCTAACATGTAATTTTTTTTATTACAGCCAGAACCGGCTAGAGTATGACAAGCGAGTGCGAGCTCAGGCTCGTGCTATGGCTGCCACTGAGTGATTAGGCGCCATTCCTACCAGCATAGGCCAAGAAGGCACATCAAGTCTTTAGGTATGTGGCAGGAGACTGGTTGCAAGGCACAGAACTAACTAGTAGCAAGTGGTGGTGATAGTATTTAAGTAACTGGTTGTTTGATTACCATCATGGCTGCAGCAGAACCAGTTAGACATTTTGTATAGGATTAAGACTGTGGGTTAAAGGTTCTGTGTAAGAATATTGTGATTATAATGAATTAAAAGCTGTACAGTTAATAACTGAAAATGTCAGTCTTCTGCCACACACAGGTAGCCTTGGGCCCACATTAAGGATAAGCACCAATTTAATCACAGAGTCAGAATCCATTACTTTGACTCTGTGAATGAATTTGACTAAAACTTCTTAATTTAATTAATAACTAGAGATTCCAATTGATCACTTCAATCATAAATTTGTTAAAGCTTACTGATTGTGATTATACAATTTTTGTAATAAAAATATAATTGAAACAGTTTTGGTTAATGTTCCACTATCACTGGAAAAGTCTACTATTTTTCTTGTATAGATATAATTTGCAGAAACATGTTGAAATAAGAATCTACATTATTTTAAACTATTTTTGTAACTTATGTTAGTCTTAATCTTAACGAACAATAAAATACTGAATTATTATATATTTTTTTGTTCTTATTATGAGTTTCATCTTACGCATCTTAGTTTGAATAATGAAAATCTAATTGCAGGCTGCTACCAACCGGGCAACAAGGAAAGCATTGGGGGAGGCCTATGTTTAGCAGTGGACGTCCTATGGCTGAGATGTTGAATGCATAGAGATAGATAGATAGATGGGAATTGCATATAATTACTGTGCTAATTGTTTTGATAATTAATTTGTCTAATCGCGCTGCGTCCTCGGCTATGTATGCGTCTCAAAAACCTTTTAAAAATGATTTTCGCTAAAAAAGAATGTAAAATAATAAATATTTTGCTAACTTTCCTTACATTTAGAAATATCTGGGGGCACGGCAGTGCCCCCGCCAAGTCGAGCGCGAAGCAAACACTGCCGTACCATCCTTTACTGGAACCATTTCGCCGCATTTTCAGGCCCCTATTTGAGAACCTCTGGATAAGACCAGAATGCAGAAATTTTCGTCATCTAGTAAGCTATAATCACATACTTAAAATCCAAAATTTCAAGTCTGTAGGTCATTTAGTTCCGAAGTTATGAGAAAGCAAAGTTTCGCATTTACGACACTCACTCACTCATCAAACTTTTGTCAAGACGGGATCGGACAATGGTAAACTATTTACCACTTCTATAAAATGTCTAAATTATATGAATAAATCAATTGCAGACGTTGCCTATAAGTGAGATTATACAATAAATGTTATAGTTTAGGAATTTGAATCCAAAAAACACTTATCAGAATTTTCGTTGAACAAAGTTTCAAAAATACCAAAAACGCGCGCTAAAAACTTGAAATTTTTGACACCAAAACCGTTTGGTTGACTTTGACATTACCTGACAGTGACAAATGACGTTGAAAAGTTGTAAAATGGCATAGATAAGTAAAAAAATATATTTAAAAATATAAATAAGTGACCAAGATATCTTTAAGTATTACCATATCGAAAATTAGGATTCTTTTTGAAAAGTAAACAAAGTGGTAATATATTTACCTTTATTTGAATAAGGGTTAACGAACAATAAAATACTGAATTATTATATTTTTTTTGTCCTTATTATGAGTTTCATCTTCCTCATCTTAGTTTGAATAATGAAAATCTAATTGCAGGCTGCTACCAACTGGGCAACAAGGAAAGCATAGGGGGAGGCCTATGTTCAGTGCAGTGGACATCCTATGGCTGAGATGTTGAATGTATAGAGATAGATGGGAATTGCATATAATTACTGTGCTAATTGTTTTGATAATTAATTTGTCTAATCGTGCTGCGTCCTCGGCTATGTATGCGTCTCAAAAACCTTTTAAAAATGATTTTCGCTAAAAATAATGTAAAATAATAAATAACTTTCCTTACATTTAGAAAGATTATAATTAAAGTTTTATTCACAAAGGTTGTATAAGTCTTGACTTTACATAGCCTTTTGAATTTTTTTTATCAAAATTCGTCTAGTTTTTGTGTGAAAGACAAACATGAACCTTCCTAGATTAACAATAGCGAATCGAATTCACAGAGCCAAATTATGAGAAGGCACTTTCAAACTAGCCCTTTTTAAAATTAGGACCATATTTTTTTTGTACCCCATTTACCACCAACATAAGAATGTTGCAAGTAGGTGTACCAACATAAAAGCATAAATGTCAAAGCAATATAGTGAAGTACCTTGCCAACTTTATCATCGATATCGATTAAAATTCAACAGCTATCGTCTCAAATATTTCTTAATAGTAGGGAATTTAGTGCAAGAACCCCTCCACTTTGGTATAGAAGGCTCATTTTTGCACCAGTTGTTCTTTGGGTGCTCCTGAGTAGATTTCCGTCGGTAGACATCGGGAGCCCCCCCTGTGGTAGCAGGGGGAGGGGGGGCAAGTTTCCTTCTGCCGCGCTTCACTTTAAGGCCTATATCTTCAAAACTATGGGTATTAGGGCAAGTGTGGTGTCATTTTCGGATAATTAAAGGATGGCAAATTCATATCTAGAACAAACTTTTTGCCTTTCCATACAAAAAAATAGAAATATTGATTAAAACTCACAAAAACCAAAAAGTATTTTTTAAAATAAACGTCGTTTACTTTTAAACCATTGGAGATAATCTAATAAAAAAAATATGTCCTGATAGCTACATTTATCAGGATTATAAATATATACCATTGTATGGTACTTTTTTCGAAAAAAGTAGGTGAAAAAAAATTTTTCTTCAGGACACAGCGGGCGAATTTTGATGCGCGTCGGAAAAAAATATTTATTTTATCCATGAATTCATACTATTTGGTTCATAAGCAAGTAAAGATTATTATTTTAGAATTTTTTTAGTTTCTGGCACATCATGCTACCATGATTTGTATTTTTTCTTCAATTAATTTTGAACTCTATCTGTGAGTCATAAGGTTGAAAATAGTTTAAATACATTTTATTATTGAAAAGATCATAAGAAGAAAGCACTAAATAAAGAACTTGAATTTGTCTTAACGTCTAATGATTATTATTAGTATTTTAATTAACATTTTTATTTCTACATACTATTGTACCAGTGATTTAACGGAAAGGTAAGTGTGAGGAAAGTGAGGATTGATAATATTATCATAGTACGAGAGATTATTTTTAGCACAAAGGCTACGGCTGTGACCATTATAGTTGTGTTTTCAGACATCACCAGCTTCTGTACTACTTCTTGCACTAGCATCTCACCTTATCCAGGCAAGCTTTGGCAGCTGGTCAATTGGTCCATGTAGGCTCCATGTTGCTATCGACTCTGGTCCACCCCCAACCAGTCGCGTAAAGGGAAGATTGAGTTGGTTACTTGCAACTGATCCTATACGCGAACCCTTTGATATACTGCCAGTAGCCAATGCTGATACAAAGCTGTCTGGGTTATCTTATGTATTGCCACACCTAAACGTAGTCCACAGCGACCCATTAGGATCTTTATTCTCCATTTTTTATTCCCTATCATCCAAAAAAATCCTATCCATTAGTTAGGTGAATTAAGCGTCTGAGTGAAAGCCACCTAATAGTCTTCTGATGCCGGATATGCTGACCCAAGCAGACCCATCCTTACAGTATTAAGTGTTTCATGGATCCCACATGTATTCCACATACTCGANCTGGCGACAGATTGGTGCAATGGTATCATGGAGCACCTGGTTTTGTCACCCTTCAACGGCCAAGTCACACTACATTAACTATAATTATAAAGAAATCGCAGTAAGGAACCATAGACTTGGCACGACTTTGTCTAGATTTCATTACTTTTTAGAGGTAAACAAGCAGCTCCATCGAGACTTGGCTAGTTTTTTACAGAATGTTTTTGGTGGGATTATAATTATAGTTTTATGCACAAAGGTTGTATGTCTTGACTTTACATAGCCTTTGTAATATACACAGCCTAATTGCTTTTTTGAATTTTTTTATCAAAATTCGTCTAGTTTTTGTGTGAAAGACAAACATGAACCTTCCTAGACTAACCATAGCGAATCGAATTCACAGAGACAAATTATGAGAAGGCACTTTCAAACTAGCCCTTTTTAAAATTAGGACCATATTTTGTACCCCATTTTCCACCAACCTATGAATGTTGCAAGTAGGTGTACCAACATAAAAGCATAAATGTCAAAGCAATATAGTGAAGTACCTTGCCAACTTTATCATCGACATCGATTAAAATTCAACAGGTATCGTCTCAAATATTTCTTAACTTAAATAAGAGCAGTCGATGTAATATCAAGCCAGGAACAAAATAAATGAATTGCTGAATAAATAAATGAAATTCTCGTTCCATTTCGATGATAACAGCACAAAGCTAATACCCACATTCCTCTTCCCACGATGCAATTCATCCTACGGCCTACCAATCGGTCTTCAGAATTATCCCAACTAATATTATAAATGCGAAAGTAACTCTGTCTGTCTGTCTGTCTGTCTGTTACGCTTTCCCGCTTAAACCTCGCAACCGATTTTGATGAAATTTGGCATAGAGATAGTTTGAGTCCCGGGAAAGAACATAGGATAGTTTTTATCCCGGTTTTTGAAACAGGGACGCGCGCGATAAAGTTTTTCTGTGACAGACAAAATTCCACGCGGGCGAAGCCGCGGGCGGAAAGCTAGTTATTTATATTGTCAGTTCGAATCTCTATTAGGGTCATTCGGCTGGTCCATTTTAAAATCTAGTAATGGACACTTGCAAAATTTCATTTTTGTCATAAATCAATAGTATAATGTTGATGGTGCTGCGACGTTATTGCAGTGCTTATCGATACTAATCCCTTAGTATCGATTAGCGCATTTGCATGACAAGTCTGCGGTCTATGTCATTATACCTACAGGGGGGAGGGGGGTGCGATTGTCTTTCAATCTTCGAATCAGTACTTAATCCCAAAATCCTGGGGGGTACCAGGGGGTGCCTTAGGAGTTATGACGGGGGAGAGGGGGGTGATCGCCCCGGGTTCCAACCCATGCTACGCCGCCACTGGCACGTCGGCCTTATCGAACATAATTTATGTACGTGCATGGCAGCTCCAACAGCCTCCTGCAAAGTGTTGCAGTGAGACTGGACTGGACGTGACTCACGTGACCTCTCTGGGAGGTTTATTTCTGCCAATGTCGAGTGAAAAATAATTGACATAGTTATCAATAGAACGTGGTGTTTCAGTTCTATTGATTTTTCATGGATTCCGTGGAGTTAAGTATGCCCGTAAGCAGGTTTCGAGACGCCACCGGGTCCAAAGCGGGTTGTTCATACGACAACCCACTCGACAAATTCGAAGTATTTCAATGTTTTTTATAATTTATCACTTCACTGCACTTTAGAACACAAAATAACACCAAATTTGTACACTAAAGTCCATTAAATAATAAATTGAAACCATTAAAACAGATCGACCATGCTTCCCGTTCAACTACCCTCCACGGAATCCCGACACTAAACTTTTATTAGTGGGTAATTATAGTTCCAAAATACTGGACTGTCCTGTCGATGACATTGACAGTGGGGCGCCACCGTCAATACCGGATCGCTGGTTCAGATTTTTGCCATGTTGGAAACCATATAGTTGAACGATGGTAGCGCCCCCCTGTCATTGAGTTTGGTGGGACAGTTCAGCGTGGGTCATCTATTGTGTGATTGACTTACATAGTTTTTAAGACCTTTGTTACTAACACTTTTAAGGGCCATGCCATGCCTGAAATTAATGACTTTTTTATCTTACCATTGATTTGCCCCCTTAGTTATGATGCCCTTTTTGATCGAATCGAAAATCGAATCAGTCAGAACTCCACGCAAAAAAAAACTTTTCAACTGGTTTGCTATTTAATTGTGCACTTTGTCTACTCTAGACCCACAGCTATCGAAATTCGACAATCGTAAGTATCGATATTCGACAATCGTGAGTCGCCGTTATTCCTCAACCAATGAAATGTCAAACTGACAGTTTAATAATCTTCGCTTGTTGACCTTGTTGTTGTGAGATTTATTGTGGGTTTTGGGTCATTCCATGACAAATGTTACCGAGGGTAAAAAATTAAATATGTTCTTTTCGCATTAAATCTGATGAATTTTGAAAGTAAACATTCCAANCACTTTGTCATGCCTTCAGAGTTTGTTCATCTTTCAGATTGAATCTAGAATAATTCTAGACTCAACCTTTACTGAGGCGATGGCTTTGTTTGAGTGCTGCCTGGCTGTGGCCCAGGATGTAAATATTGCGTTTTTACACCCCTGTTTTTATAAATTATAGCGTAGAATTCAGCTTGAAATACTGTAGCAAACCTCCTTAAACGTTTACTGTGTTCGTAGTGTTTACAGTAGACATCCCGGTGCGTTCCCAAGGCCAGGCTATCTTGGCTTGGAGCTGTCAGTAAAACAGATTAGGCTGTTCTGTTGGGATTTTGGTCCTCTTTTCTAGTTGTCCCTTGTTCAATATCTATGTCTATCCACTTATTAGCTCAATCCACTGTTTTTTTCAGTCCACTGGTATTGTTTTAGATCAAGTACCTCCTACTATTACCACATGCTTGACTATGAACGAGTGCTGTAAGTGCCCACCAACCTAGGCAGTTTTGTATCAGTATATCAAGGGCAGTAATTATGTCCTTATGATTTTTTAAGTTATTTAAAATTTAGTTGGTTCAAGGAGTTCGCGTATAGGGTCAGTTGCAAGCAACCGACTCAAGCTTCCCTTTACCTGACTGGTTGAGGGTGGACCAGAATCGATAGCAACATGGAGCCTACATGGACCAATTACCCGTAGCTGCCGAAGCTTGCCTGGAAAAGGTGAGATGTTAGTGCAAGAAGTAGTGCTGGTGCTGTCTGAAAAAACAACTACCTACTAATGGTCACAGCTGTAGCCTTTGTGCTAAAAATAATCTCCCGTACTATGATAATATCAATCCTCACTTTCCTCACACTTACCTTTCCGTAAATCACTGGTACAATAGTATGTAGAAATAAAAATGCTAATAAAATACTAATAATAATCATTAGACGTTTAGACAAATTCAAGTTCTTTATTTAGTGCTTTCTTCTTATGATATTTTCAATAATAAAATGTAATTAGACTATTTTCAACCTTATGACTTACACATAGAGTTCAAAATTAATTGAAGAAAAAATACAAATCATGGTAGCATGATATGCCAGAAACTCTAAATAATCTACACTAATATTATAAAGAGGAAAACTTTGTTTGTTTGTTTGGTTGTAATGAATAGGCTCAAAAACTACTGGACCGTTTTTAAAAATTCTTTCACCATTCGAAAGCTACATTACTCACGAGTAACATAGGCTACATTTTATTTTGGAAAAAAATATGAAGTCCACGCGGGCGAAGCCGCGGGCGGAAAGCTAGTAAATTATAAAATAATAATCTTTACTTGCTTATGAACCAAATAGTATGAATTCATGGATAAAATAAATATTTTTTTCCGACGCGCATCAAAATTCGCCCGCTGTGTCCTGAAGAAAAATTTTTTTTACCTACTTTTTTCGAAAAAAGTACCATACAATGGTATATATTTATAATCCTGATAAATGTAGCTTTCAGGACATATTTTTTTTATTAGATTATCTCCAATGGTTTAAAAGTAAACGACGTTTATTTAAAAAAATACTTTTTGGTTTTTGTGAATTTTACTCAATATTTCTATTTTTTTGTATGAAAAGGCAAAAAGTTTGTTCTAGAAATGAATTCGCCATCCTTTAATTATCCGAAAATGACACCACACTTGCCCTAATACCCATAGTTTTGAAGATATGGGCCTTAAAGTGAAGCGCGGCAGAAGGAAACTTGCCCCCCCTCCCCCTGCTACCACAGGGGGGGCTCCCGATGTCTACCGACGGAAATCTACTCAGGAGCACCCAAAGAACAACTGGTGCAAAAATGAGCCTTCTATACCAAAGTGGAGGGGTCTCCATACAAATCATTGCACTAAATTCCCTACTATAAGTTAAATAAGAGCAGTTGATGTAATATCAAGCCAGGAACAAAATAAATGAATTGCTAAATAAATAAATGAAATTCTCGTTACATTTCGATGATAACAGCACAAAGATAATACCCACATTCCTCTTTTCCCACGATGCAATTCATCCTACCAATCGGTCTTCAGAAATATTATTCCAGTTCGAATCTCTATTAGGGTCATTCGGCTGGTCCATTTTAAAACCTAGTAATGGACACTTGCAAAATTTCATTTTTGTCATAAATCAATAATATATAATGTTGATGGTGCTGCGACGTTATTGCAGTGCTTTAGGGATTAGTATCGATTAGCGCAGATCCAACAGCCTCCTGCAAAGTGTTGCAGTGAGACTGGACTGGATGTGACAGTGCCATGCAAAGACACTAAACTTTTATAAGTGTGTAATTAGTGTGATTGACTAACATAGTTTTTAAGAATTTTGTTACTAACACTTTTAAGGGCCATGCCATGCCTGAAATTAATGACTTTTTTATCTTACCATTGATTTGCCCCCTTAGTTATGTTGCCCTTTTTGATCGAATCGAAAATCGAATCCGTCATAACTTCACACAAAATAAACTTTTCAACTGGTTTGCTATTTAATTGTGCACTTTGTCTACTCTAGACCCACAGCTATCGATATTCGACAGTCGTAAGTATCGATATTCGACAATAGTGAGTCGCGACATCATTCATTATTCCTCAACCAATGAAATGTCAAACTGACAGTTTAATAATCTTCGCTTGTTGTTGTGAGATTTATTGTGGGTTTTAATAAATTAAATGCATAATTTTTGTGTGAATTCGTCGCTAAGTCGAAGATAAGTCGCTAAGAAGAAGAAAATTTATTTCAAATTACACAATGGCCGATGATGAGCAAGATCCTAAAGAGTACCGATGGGAAACAGGTTATGAAAAGACATGGTAAGTTTTTACTCGTTTTATATATTAAATTTTAACCGTAAATTACTTATTTACCGACTTGTTGTTTAATTTAATTCTAGGGAAGCTATCAAAGAGGACAAAGATGGTCTTGTGGAAGGTTTGGTCGCAGAGTTCGCCCAGAAAGCAGCCCGCAAAGCACTGGTGCCGCGGCGCGGCCCAGTCCGGTTGGGCATGATGAGGCACCTCATCGTGGCTGTAGACTGCTCAGAGGCTATGAGCTCACAGGATTTGAAACCAACCAGGTTCTTGTGTACAATTAAGGTACTATATCCTGTATTTTTAGAAAATAAGAGTAGAAGTTCTAATTGAGTGAGAATGTTATCAATTTGTTTATTTTTAGTTGCTGGAGAAATTTGTTGAAGAGTTCTTTGACCAGAATCCTTTGAGTCAATTAAGTATTGTAGCCATGAAAAACAAAAGAGCCGAAAAAGTTACTCAGCTGTCTGGAAACGTTAGAAAGCATGTAAAAGCTGTTCAAGGGTAATAAATTTTAGAAGTAATTTTTGTAAGTTGTTTATTTTTAGGATAGGGATATAATATATTTCTACATTGTTGGGATTTCAGGTTATCAAACATTGCTCTTACTGGTGAGCCATCATTACAAAATACATTAGAGTTAGCAGGCCGAGTGCTCAGGCCACTGCCTGGCCACGCTTCCAGGGAGCTTCTTGTTTTATTTGCATCACTCACTACATGTGATCCTAGTGACATCACCACTACTATACAGGTAGATATTGTTTATAAACATTGAGTTCAATTATTATTTATATGTATACCTACCTATTATTACTTCAATTGTTTTTATATTTTGTTGTAGACTCTCAAAACAGATGGAATTAGATGTTCAGTTATTGGACTGGCGGCAGAAGTAAGGATTTGCAAGAAATTATGCCAGGACACTGGTGGGGAATATGGGGTAAGAATAGAAACATAAACTAAAGTTAACATTGTGCACTTTGTCTACTACTACTACTTTATTTATCTATAGAACAGACTTAGATGACTGCTTTTAATAATTAGCCTATTGGCTAGAGATTTCCGTTTTATGGGAATTGTCGGAAACTCCGCTACTACTGCTCTTAATAAGAATATGCTTTTTAGTAACCTTAAAATTAATAAAATAAATAGTTAATTGAGCTTAAGATAAGCTTTGTTATGGCAAAGAGGCTATGAGGTCACTACCATTCAAACTTTTGGTAAAGTTTAATGTCACTTTCTGTCAGGTGGCGCTAGACGACGTTCACTAAGGCCCAGAACAGATGGTGAAACGCAACTGCAACGAAACTGCAACTGCTAGTTACTTTTGAGTTGCATCTAAGTTTCTGCCATAACGTCCGTTGAGAGACCACACATGACGCGACCAGTTTGAAACTTTCAGTTTCAGTTTCATTCATCAGAATCATCACAAAGTGGCAGTTTCGTTGCAGTTGCGTCTCACCGTCTGTTCTAAGCCTTGGATTTTCGAAAAGTTTACTAAGACTTTCCCCTAGGTGGTGCTAGATGACGTTCACTACCGCTCGCTGTTGTTAGAGCACACAGCGCCGCCGCCGCGAGCGCGCGCCCTCGACGCGGGCCTGGTGAAGATGGGCTTCCCGCACAGCGCGCCGCCCGCCGTGCAGCCCGACGCCGCCGCCGGCGCCGACCCCGCCATCACTGTGTGCATGTGGTCAGTAGCAAGTAATATCCTTAAATAATAATAATATCCTTGGACATTTTTACACTGCGCCGCTAGTCCCAAACTAAGCAAAGCTTGTACTATGGGTACTAGACAACGGATATAAACATACTTAAATACTTTTTTTTTGTAAATACATACATATTATACATAGAAAACACCCAGACCCGTCACAGAAATTAAAATTCATCATTTCAATTTCTGCCCGGCCGGGAATCGAACCCGGGACCTCACGGCATAGTAGTCCGTTCTGAACCACTACACCAAACGGCCGAGCAAGTGTAGTGGTGTAGTAGTTAGACACTATCGATAGTATTACTGCTGCCTGAGCACACGGTAGCGCTCGACGCGGGCCTGGTGAAGATGGGCTTCCCGCACAGCGCGCCGCCCGCCGTGCAGCCCGACGCCGCCGCCGGCGCCGACCCCGCCGTCACTGTGTGCATGTGGTCAGTAGCAAGTGTAGTGATGTAGTAGTTAGACACTATCGATAGTATTACCAGGCCTGTTCATCTCCGCGAGTTTACATCGAAAACAAAACACGCACGATGGCCCACCTACAGGATACTATTCGACAAGGCCTCACATACGAGCGAACATTGACTCACGCACGCGTATTCTTGTGTATGACGGAAGAAAATAAAGAAAATGGTGTACTAAATACTGTGCAGTATTTAACTGCCTAAATAATGATAAAAACACAGAATGTACTTTTTTAAGTTGCCTCAAGACACTGAGAGGTAAATAAGTAGTTAATATTATTCATGATAATTCATGCTAAATANGGTCAGTATCAAATGTCGATAGTATTATCTATAGATAGTATTTTGCCGCTGTAGTACACGGTGCTGCTTGATGCGCGACTGGTAAAGTTGAGCATTTCGCACAGCGCCCCGGCGCAGACCTCGCCCCGGTGTGCATCTGGTCAATAACGAGCGTCTTTTGTTTTATTTAAGAGTGGCGCAGTCGGTCTATGGGTACCTCTTTGGTGGAGGCTTGCCTGAAAGTCTACTCAATTGTTTTGGACCAAATAAAAATTTTTCTTTCTTTCTTTCAATCAATGAGGGTTTTCGCGATTGAAAAATACGCCAGATGGCAATACGTAGACGCGAGGTCCAAATACTGCATGATTGGTTATTTTTGACATGACATTGACAGATATGTCAAAATCCACCAATCATGCAGCATTTGGACCTCGCGTCTACGTATTGCCATCTGGCGGATTTTTCAATCGCAAAAAGCCTCATTAAACTATAACAATAGCTCCACCTGAAAACACTAATACATTCTGTGTTAAAGAAAAGTACTAATTTTGATTTTTCAAAGTATTTTTATTCTTTTCTTTGTTTAACCTCTCAGCCCCCAAGCGGTAGCCGGCTACCGCGTAACAATTGATTTATCTATTGTGTCTAGATTCGTGGTGGTTGAAGGATTAATGGTGAATATTGTTCCAGCCACTTGGAGGAAGGCGAGAGCGTGGGCGGCGAGGGCCACTTCTGCCCGCAGTGCCGCAGCAAGTACTGCTCGCTGCCGGCGCAGTGCCGCACCTGCGGGCTCACGCTGGCCTCCGCGCCGCACCTGGCCAGGTAACCAAACGGTCTATCCACTTTGAATAAATAAATAAATAAACCTTTATTGTCACCATAACAAAAAAAAATACAACTTTAACACAGCTTAACTATTAAAAATAAGGTGACAAGGGCAACCGGCTCAGCGCAAGCTGTACGGCACTAGGTCCATGCAGCGCTAGTTTTCAGCCGGTGCCAGTCTCCTGCACAGTAATACAAAATTAAAATAAAGAACCACACATTTTTCATCACCATCACACCGTCAGCTCGTTAAAACAAAATCAAAAACAAAAGAAGAATAATTACTTATATGCGACTTCATTCAAAATTTATTGTTTTTGAATAAGCGATTCCTTCATGGAAGCTTTAAAACTTTGATCATCTGGATTAGATCACTCATCGTCGCTTGCCTCTGTAACGGACGTATCTGACATTTTTTTTCGAATCTTGAGTTATCTACACCATCTTAATCAATTTCGAAAGACGAATCGATCTGTCTAATCACCTGAAAATTTTGCAAAATGTCAGTTACGTCACTTAGAGAGGCAAGCGACGCCAACGCCATGTCATCAAAGTACAAAATAGACTCCAGGCGACACTTTGGCGTCCTTTGATCACACATGGATAAGATCACCTAGGTGATCAAAGTGGACTTCAGTTAAATTATTATTTTGGTATCCTTTGATCACTTATAAATAAATCACACCTCTGTGGGCTGAGTGTGAGTTTACATCAAACGCGCTCAAAAATGTATGAAAATTTTAGTTTTTGGAAGTTTCCCGCTAGGGGCGCTTTACAATCCGTCATACATTTAATGTCATTTTTTGACGCGCTCTCTAGAGTAGGCGCACACCGTTGATTTTTCGTCGGCCGATAGTTTAGTCGGGCAGTTGATCAGTATGGGCATGTATGGGAGTGCGCACACTACGCCGATTCGATTTGGCCGATTCTTCATACAAATTAAAATCGAGCACAACTATCGGCCAACTAAAAATCAACGGTGTGCGCCTACTCCTAGTGAGCGCGTTTGAAAAAAACTCACACTAGGCCCTTTGAATTGTCACAGTCATGTCCTATTTGTTTGATATTCAAATGATTTAACTTATAATACCATAGACGCTATTTCAAGTTAGAGAAGAGTGATTTTTGAGATACTTTTCTTTGCAATCCTCGTCTTTACTACTTCCTTATTGCGAAAACGTATTAAAATTAATCATTTGTCTTCTTTCCAGATCCTATCATCACTTATTCCCAGTGGAGCCATATGAGGAATTGCCCAATGAAGGACAAGCGCAATATTGTTTCGGTTGTCTGAGACAATTCACCGATCAAGATAAACAGGTACCTACTGACTAATGACTTAGTATAACTTTTGTCTCAAGATAATCACAGTTCAAGCATGCCAGTTCTTCATCTCCCCGAGCACTCATCGATAACAAAATACGCGCGGCGGCCACACCGGCTTGGTTAATCCGCAAGGAATTCACGTGCGAGCAGAGACCGATCACTGAATAGGTTTAGTGTATGTATTTTGAATCGCTTTTTCAAGTAACAACAATGAAGTTCGCTTGCAAGGGTTTCTCTAGTATGTAAAGTAAACGGTGCTCGACTCTTGAGGCAAGCTAAATTGCACTTGCAATTGTAATATTCTTGACGATATTAAGTAGACACTTTTTAAAATACTTCTGCAAGATTCTTCTGTACAAAGTATATTATTATTCTGTGGTGCAAATTCCTTTCTATCCTATATCCGGAGACGGTGTAATGAGTGCAACTTTTCTCCGCAGGTGTACCGCTGCAAGCGCTGCCTGGAGTGCTACTGCTGGGACTGCGAGGGCTTCGTGGGCGCCACGCTGCACGTGTGCCCCGGCTGCGCCGCGCGTCCGCATCTCTACCAGCGTCTGCCCGATACCGCCTGACGAGATATACTGTGCTTTTGACAATATTACTGGCAGAACAAAGTTAACGGCGTAGCGTGCCTTAGGCCAGTGCCCCCAATGCGCTAAATATTTTCAACTACAACGCGACTATACGACGAACGAAAATCACAAATTCGTATCGCGGTGTCGCTTTGACAGCTATTTCAAACGAAACAAAACGCAACTGCTTCTTTGTGTAAAAGCTGAAAGAAAGCTACTTTTTTTACTAACACTGATCTGTATGTGGTCGAAATAAATTATTATTATTTTCTCAAACGCAAGTCAAACGTCTTCACGAACATTGCTGTGTTTTAATGAAAAAATAAGGTGTTCGGACTTTTAACGGAAAGTGATTAAATCCGTTGTTTCGTCTTTGTTTGCGCGTGAACTTTACCGCGATACCGAATTTGCACCTCAGCTGGAATGAAAAACGTGCAACTGGAGAAGAAGCGCCAATGAATTGGAGACGTTAAAAATTAGCGCAATCGGGGCACATGTTCAGATGATGAGCTTTTTTCCTACAAATGTCTATAGATTATATGTGCATAGACTCTAGACGGGCTCTTTATCAGAAAATTTTGGGGGCCCCAAAAATGAGGGTTTAAAGATTAAAAGATTATCAGTGGCCCTTTTCACCTATCTAAATGGAACTTTTCAACTATTGGTATGACCTGGTAATGGGGACTCCTGTAGCCCGGGGCCCTGTATCAATACAACGGTAACCACGCCTCTGCCTTAAAAGTAAGGCCTTAACCCTCGCTGTACGAGGTGGGGTGTGACACACCCCAGTCCTTTAAAAATAGCCACAATTTTAAAAATTTGCAAGTGCTGAATTTGGAATTCCCAGTAGCTGGAATTATGACACTGCTGCTTCGATCAGCGTTGCAAAATCAGTCCAGCGGTGACTACCAACTGAATTACATGCCTTTAAAGTGCGTGTGGGTGTCACACACCCCACCTGGTACGGGACGTTGTTAAAAAGTTAAAAAAAAAATCTAACAGTTTTGGTGTAATTTATATATTTTTAGCTTTGTCAATTGAATAAATTTCAATACAAATATTATTTTTCGTGATTTTTACGGTATCTGAAATTTTCAAGCACTTTTAGTCAAATGAGATGACTTTTAGNCCATCGTCGCTTGCCTCTCTAACTGACGTATCTGACATTTTTTTCGAAACTTGAGTTATCTACACCATCTTAATCAATTTCGAAAGACGAATCGTTCTGTCTAATCACCTGAAAATTTTGCAAAATGTCAGTTACGTCAGTTAGAGAGGCAAGCGACGCCAACGCCATGTCATCAAAGTACAAAATAGACTCCAGGCGACACTTTGGCGTCCTTTGATCACACATGGATAAGATCACCTAGGTGATCAAAGTGGACTTCAGTTAAATTATTATTTTGGTATCCTTTGATCACTTATAAATAAATCACACCTCTGTGGGCTGAGTGTGAGTTTATATCAAACGCGCTCAAAAAATGTATGAAAATTTTAGTTTTTGGAAGTTTCTCGCTAGGGCCACTGTGCAATCCGTCATACATTTAATGTCATTTTTTGACGCGCTCACTAGGGAGCGCGTTTGAAAAAACTCACACTAGGCCCTCTGAATTGTCACAGTCATGTCCTATTTGTTTGATATTATAAACTATAGTCGCTTTTTTACGTTAGAGAAGAAGAGTGGTTTTTGAGATACTTTTCTTTGCAATCCTCGTCTTTACTACTTCTTTATTGCGAAAACGTATTAAAATTAATCATTTGTCTTCTTTCCAGATCCTATCATCACTTATTCCCAGTGGAGCCATATGAGGAATTGGCCAATGAAGGACAAGCGCAATATTGTTTTGGCTGTCTGAGACAGTTCACTGATCAGGATAAACAGGTACTATTGATGTGATGTGTGAATGTCTTTGTGGAAATCCTTGGGGGAGGCCTTTGTCCAGCAGTGGACGTCTTTCGGCTGAAACGAACGAATGAATGATTAATGTGATATACGTATTTAGAGAGTAAAAGATATCCAATTGGATAGTTTACATCATTATTATTTCCATTTGATAAATGTATTTATCTGTTTATCTTGGAAATGGACCAATCAATCAGTTTTTAGCCCGGAAATTTAAGCCAGTTTTAAATTTGTTTCAAAATAGCTGATGCCTATGTTCAGCAATGCACATCCTGTGGCTGAAATGATGATAATAGAGGACACGATATAAAATAGTATCAAATCTATGTTATTTCGTCTAAGACGAGCGTCTACCCCTTACAGCGTTGTGAGTGCAGTGGTGGTGGTACACTCAAATCCTCTTCCTCCGTCCATTTGTATCAAAAATTTCGTTCGATCAAAGCAGACGCCCAAATTATCCGGCTCCTAAAATCCTGCCGTCATAGGCTTCCTATTGCTAAATCCGCCGACCGCTACTGAGTGAGTAACCCTTCTGCGCAGGTGTATCGCTGCAAGCGCTGCCTGGAGTGCTACTGCTGGGACTGCGAGGGCTTCGTGGGCGCCACGCTGCACGTGTGCCCCGGCTGCGCTGCGCGTCCGCATCTCTACCAGCGCCTGCCCGACACCGCCTGACGAGATATACTGTGCTTTTGACATATTTTTTTTTTAAAGATTATTAGTAATTTGTTATTACACAAATTACTAACACTCCCGTTAGCCCCTCGTACTAAGCTAAATATGCTTGTGTCACGAGTGAGCTCACCACAATAGTCGAGCGGCGGCGGGGACTGAACCCGCGTTCCCCGGATCACGAGTCGGCCAGTCCGACCCCTTCACCGTTCGGCTATCGTGGCTTCATATTACTGGAAGAGCATAAACGGCGTAGCGTGCCTTAGGCCAGTGCCTCGATTGCGCTAAATATTTTCAACTATAGTCTAGTCCGTGAGCACGTAGAATTTTGTCCAATGACCCCTAGCTACCCATCCTTATTGCTCGCGCGTAATTATGTTGCTATCGCACTCGCACACTCACTGCGGGTGCCAGTCGCACAGTCGCGACAGCAATATAATTACGCGCGAACGATAAGGACGGGTAGCTAGGGGTCATTGGACAAAATTCTACGTGCTCACGGACCGGGCTTTAAAACGCGACTAGACGACGAACGAAAATCACAAATTCGTATCGCGGTGTCGCTTTGACAGCTATTTCAAACGAAACAACTCAACTGCTTCTTTGTGTAAAAGCTGAAAGAAAGCTACTTTTTCTCAAACGCAAGTCAAACGTCTTCACGAACATTGCTGTGTTTTAGTGCAAAAATAAGGTGTTCGGACTTTTATTGGAAAGTGATTAAATCCGTTGTTTCGTCTTACTTTACCTTTACCGCGATACCGAATTTTCACCTCAGCTGGAATGAAAAACGTGCAACTGGAGAAGAAACGCCACGCAATCGGGGCACAGGTTCAGATGATGAGCTCTCAATAAGCGTTTTGCTAACGTGCGTTTACCCTATCACGGCGTATTTAAAACGTGGCACGACGTTTCAGGAACGCGGCTTCGGCGGTGCGCTTTTTTCCTACAAATGTCTATAGATTGGGTCTGAATTTCGCGTATATCGCGCTTAAAAATGCCGTGTGCATAGACTCTAGACGGGCTCTTTATCAGAAAATTTTGGGGGCCCCAAAAATGAGGGTTTATAGGTTAAAAGATTATCAGTGGCCTTTTTCACCTATCTAAATGGAACTTTTCAACTATTGGTATGACCTGGTATAAATGGGGACTCTTGTAGCCCGGGGCCCTGTATCAATTCATATAACGGTAACCACGCCCCTGCCTTAAAAGTAAGGCCTTAAAGTGTAGATATGAACTTGGTTACAATTGCAAGCAGTCAACAATCAAGACTGAAACACATTTCTCGTTGATAACTATAAAGTAAGGATATGGCATTTGTTTAATTAAATGTTATGTACATAATGTATGTAATTATAGAAATAAAATTGTGCATAAATTATAACAACATAATGTTTTATTTAGAGCGTATATGAAAATGTTAATAAAAGACAGCATTAAAATATTTCGATATATTTTTATTAATCATATCACAATTTGTATATTTTCTACTATACAATAGAAAAAATAACTCTTACGCTAAATACATAGTCTCAGAAGCACCTACACATTTATTATGTATGTACAACACGGTAATTATATAAATCACAGATAAAAATCTCGTATTGTAAAAGTTATAGCAATGACATTCCCTTTATTGATACAATTTATGAAATACACGTACATATTTCTTGTTTTTTTAACATTAATCATTGTAAAAGTTGCGTATAAATGCACTTATTTGGGCGCTATTAAAACAATCTAAAATATAAAAGGAGCTGGCTCATATTTATCATACCATCACAGATGTGTATTTGTATTTTTTCTATCTGAAATATTTGGTCAACATTGTCTTACTTAATACGTGTCAGTAGATTTAATAATATCACATAAAATACGTAATAATATAATTTTCTAAGTACCGCCTAATGGCAAAGTTTGCTGTATTTAATGAAAAGATGCTTAATCAAATCTAGCAATCAGTCCCGAGGAACATAAAACGCTGTTGTCTACTTATTTTAGAAAGGTTTTATGGTGCTATTAACTAAGATTAAGATCTAAATCATATTACGAGAAATAAAGATCACGATACCTAAATGATAAACAGTCAAACAGAACTGTTATGTTGAATCAATACAACACGTTACGAATGCTAAGTCACAGATCGTGCGTATAAATAACATAGACAACAATATAACAATTACTACACTAATCATTTCAAACGGCGTCGCTGTCACCGTTTTTCTTCCGCGTCACCCACATGATGTTGGATTTCTGGTAATACTGTTCAATTTGTAGCAGAGATTTTCCTTTAGTTTCTGGTAACATTAAGTACAGGACGATAGTGGCGAGGGCGGAGGAGGCGCCGAATAAGCCGAAGACTCCAGCCATTCCGATGGCGTTTTTCATGATGGGGTAGAGTTTGGTGAATCCGAAGAGGACGGTGTTAAATAGGCAGAATATGTAGCCGCCGCAGAGGCCGCGGACTTTTGTGGGGAGGAGTTCGCCGATCATGAGTCCAGGGAGGAGGAAGAAGCCGAGGGTGTTGAACCCGACGTAGCCGAGGATGAGCGCTGGCGGCAGCCAGCCGGAGCCGCGACCCTGGGTCAGCATGAAGGCCAGCACCAGGGTACAGAAGGCCGTCCCCACTCCTGAGATCATGACCAGCGCGCGCCGCGTCATCTTCAGCAGCATGATGCACGCCATCACCGTCACGCACAACCTTACTAAGGCACTTACGTTTGCTGCCATCTGCAAATAAATGATCACATTAGTAAATAAATCATCACCGCGGACGAATTCAAACGGACGAATGCCTCGCCTATCAGCGAGTTTTCCTATTGTATTTGGTAGCCTATAAAATACTTACTCAATATATCAAAATACAATAGGAAAACTCGTTATATGACTTATAACTGATGTAGGTAATTCTTTCTTAGTAACAGGAAAGTAATAATAACCATAATATATAATCTACCGTTCAACGGTTAAGTTACTATGAAAGCAAAACAATTTAATGCATCGGGTCTTAACTACTTATATAATAATATTAAATTAGTTTCGGTAGGCATAAAGCACCGCAATAGGTGATATGAATTTTAAGAAAGCAAAACATTGGGTGCGATTGGCCGTTACCTACATAAAGTAACCGCTATAGAATACTTTACTAGTTTTTGCAGTGTCTGTGATATGAATTTTAAACTATCTGAAGCAGCATTTGCTGCTCTATTAATGAATCTATTTGAGACGGGCATCTTGTTTAATTGAGTTGTTTGTTTCGGGGGACTTCTTAATTGAGTTGTTGTGACATTGTTACTATCAACATTATGGATTATGATTTAGTTTGTGCTACCGGGTTTGCCAGGTCAATTGAGCGGTTGCTTTAAAGTTATAAAACAAGCGAGAACTGGTTGATTCAAAAACTAACACCTCGACGTGACCCGTTTCATCAAACATAGCACACTTGGTCACAGGGGCGGCGAAGGGACTTAGGTCTTTGTCACGTAGTAACCTTGAGGATATTGATCTTGGCGCGCGCCTCACTTTGGTCAGGAACCTGATGCTCAGTCAGTCCCGCGCCTTATCTTTACTTACTTGAGGGTTCATAGAGCCGCCCGAGTCCTTCAAGATGTCGACGGCGTAGAAGATGACGACGTAGCTGCCGGACAGGATCTGCAGCATGTTAAAGGCGTTGATGAGCAGCAGCGGCTTCAGCACCGGCACGCGCCTCACTGTGGCCAGTAACCTGATGCTCTCTCAGTCCCGCGCCTACTCTTTACTTACTTGAGGGTTCATAGAGCCGCCCGAGTCCTTCACGATGTCGACGGCGTAGAAGATGACGACGTAGCTGCCGGACAGGATCTGCAGCATGTTGAAGGCGTTGATGAGCAGCAGCGGCTTCAGCACCGGCGCGCGCCTCACTGTGGCCAGGAACCTGATGCTCTCTTCACCCCGTGCCTTCTCTTTCTCCCGGGCTGAGATCAACTCGTGGAGTTCGCGTTGCGCCTGAGGATAATAACAGTAAAACATGGAAATTTGCCATCGAATGGTGCTTTGAAGTAAGTACGAGGGATTTTGTTGTTATTTACAGGCTCCTCGCCTAGCTCAGACACCAGTCTCTCACAATCTATTATATACATGATGTACTATTTTTATTGTAATACTTTTATGTCAGTTAGATTGTGGAGAAAAATAAAGATTTTTATTATTATTATTATTATATTATTATTTTGTCGTAAGTCGTTCGTACCGTAAATAGGCCTAACCTAACTACCGAGGTAATTCATTGGACTTTAACTTTGAAGCATGTACCTAGGTATGTAATTCGAAAATGTATACCTACATGCTTCAAAGTTTATAAAGTTAAAAAAATACAAAAAGTTGTATTTTGTAAACATTACGTAGAAAACATTTCTGTTGTGTATAAGTAACTGGCCGTTTCCGGTAAAAATCTCTACCTAGCGTAACACAGAAACGTTTCAACAACAGTAAATACGTCAAGACGTACCTAAATACATAACTTGTATAAATTAACAGAAAAAAAACATAGGTTCATTGGTTGGACACAAAATGTAGCATAAGACTCACGTTCAATGAATGTAATGTGTAGCATTCAGAAAAGAAAAAAGACATGAATTTTAATGTCATTTCAATCTACCGCTTGAAACTCGATCCTCATGCCTAAATTAGTATGCAAACACCACAGTGCCTGGTAATTGTATCGCATCCAGCATATTCCAGAACTCCTCCAATTGACCATATCTCGTTGAGCTCATTAAAGCCATTGCGTGTAGCAATAAGTAGTTTTGGGGTTCAATTATAAATGACACTTTTGTAAGCACATTTGAGTAAGGCATTTTGTATTTGTTATAACTGTAAGAAAGAAACTATGGTACATACACTGAGTACCTACTTAAAATATGAATGGGAGACTGCATATTATACCTACTGTATAATCTCCAAATATATTAAAAGTCCGCTTAATAGACATGTACCGTAGAGCCTTTCTGCAGTCTCTATCAAGTTGTCTGTTATTCACTTGAGCCACGTTATGTAGGAAATTTTTCGGAAAGCATCAATTAATATGTATCCTACTTATGGTTTCCAATACTTACAGTATAAACTATAAAAACTGCCCTAAAACGATAAGGAAGTCTATGGCGTTGACCGAGCAAATGAAGTATAACATTTCCGGATGGATACGGAAGGCGACGCTAGAGGCACAGCTGGAGGTCAGCTTTCTGCGAAGGTTTCCTTAAGTCTTGAAATTTTTTATCATCGGATAATCGTGGCAGTACTTACCTAGCTGAAAAAACTGAATTGGAAAGATGTAGGTAGCTGTTTCTATAAATAAACATTTAAGATTGTTACTATGCCACATTGGATCGAATAATTTCTTAATTTACCATTTAAAGAAAAAGTATTTGTAGAACACTAATATTAATAACATTCCTATCCTACCTCGGAATATTTAATCAAGTGTACCTATGTAAGAAGTGCCAGAAGCACTTCTTTATTTTAATTTCGTAGAGAAAAAAGTAGATAGGTAAAGTGGAAAAATACTACAAGCAGATTAGCTATAATTTTCCACTTTATCTACTTTTATGGCATTATTTATGGTAAATTACCTGTTCAGAAGGAAACTCAATTTTATATTGCAATGAAACTGATATCCATTGGGTAATGCATTATGCATTTTATCATCGAGTAAAATGCCTCGGAATATCGCATTGTATAATGGTTCAGTGGCATCAACAATTTGAGACCACAAAGAACAATGCGTACTTGTATGGCTGCTGCTTCAATAATGGCACTGCAAATAACGGGTACTTACAATATCGGGGTCGCCCCGCAGGCGTGATATGGCAGCCATGGCTTCGTGGAATCGGCCCCGGCGCGCGAGCCACGTGGGGCTCTCAGGGGAGAAGCAGAGAGCCACGAAGGCAAGAGCTGGCAGCACCACGGAGAGATATGCCACGGAGCGCCACGGCAGGGCGCCTCCCAAGGCATATACGTATAGAACTCCGAGGGAGTAAGCCACAAACGGCGTCCCGATGAGAATACCTCGCAGTCTTGGCTCTGAGATCTCTCCTAAGTACACCTGAAAATAAATCTCACTTTTTCAACTGAACTACAGCTAAGTCCAGAACGTGCACATCTGGTGATTGTAAGATGTTTCGATAATGATCCATTTGTCGTTTTAGATAAGAGAACTGACACAAACGGTCAATCTACGTAGTCACGTATCAACATGATGTTATTGCTTTAGGTACACGTGAGATTAAAATCAAATAAAGATCAAGGGGCATATAAAGTTTCCTATATATTTGTAGGCATTTAGCAAATGGGCCCAGTGGCCTGGAGGTTAGTAAGAGAGATAATAATGTAGCACAAAATCTCACTTGTGAAGGCGCTGCCATGATGCCCACAGCGAACCCGCATATGATGCGACCGAGCAGCAGAACGGCGTGGTGCACCGACGTGCCGATTATGACCCAGCCCACGATGAGTGGCAACACGCAGGCCTGCAGAGTTCTCCGCCGGCCTATCGCCTCCATTATTGGCCCTGACAGCATTGACCCTAGCGGCGTCGCCGCTGAGTGTATACTGGCTGTTGACAAACAAATAAGTGATGTTAATCGAAGAAAAAAAGTGCTACACTCTCGGAGGTTCCGGGTTCATTACCCAGCTGGATGAAACATAGTGTACACTTATACTACATAATAGTTTTGTGTAATTTGAAAATTATAAATAACTTGAAATAATCGAACTGCCAAAGGCGGGAATTGAACCCACGATTTGTGTAATTTGTTTTCAGTCTGGTTAGAGCTTTTTACTGTACTGAAAAAGGGAAAAGTTTCCGTGCTTCGGAAGACACGAGTCTAGTTACGTATGTGCCATGTCAGATTCCTATTAATAAAAAAGAAATTTAAAATAACAGAACGTTTGTTTTCCTATCTCTATTTCTACATGAATAGAGCCAAAGAGTCGATTGTGAAGTGTACTATGCATGCAAAGGTACTGTAGTCGTCAGGTTGTGTATTGGTTTTAATTTAATCGTTTAGCCACGAAGTCTATCCGCTCACAATACAGCGGGTAAGCATCCGCGTGTTGTATTGCATTTGCGGAATGAATACAACATTGTGCTCAGTCATTTATGTTCATTAGGTACAATTTTAACAAAAGAACAGTAGGTACCGGTTCAAGGATTGGTGTACCTGTTCAAAGGTTACAAAATGAAGAAGTTAGCGTTTTTGTGCCAAGATAATGTTAGATTCTATATGTTGGATTCACGTGTGTAGCCATGATACAACGCCATGTTAAGTGTTTTTAAAAATAAGTAGGTACCTACTTAAGTATGTTTTTCACTGTAAGTAACATTTTTTATTTTTTTGGTTTCATATTGCTAATGTATTCAGTCTATGTCCAATGGTGGAATTTATGTTTTGTTTATTTCTTTGTTTATGATCTAGATTTTGAAAAATGTCCCCTCTTATTAATACTAAATAAATAAAGTGATCCATTCCTCTCAATTGGAAACATGGAATGGAAATTTTTGTTTATACATAGCAGTTATTATATACTTTAACGAGTCGCATTGTTGTAGCACCATCAATATCAATTCATCAAGCCCTTTCATACACACTTGAGAGCATGGCAAAAACAGTTTGTTCACGATGATTTTACCTACGGGTAATCACTGTGACACGAGTTACTAAACGTATGATTTCAATAGATAGTAGGTAATAATTCCAGTAAATAACAATCTGACAACGTTTTGGCAAACTTTTTACTCTATTATCAAACAACTGTTCTAGTTTTGAAGATACGGGCAATTATAAAATAACTTAATTATTTAGTAATCTGACCTACCCCTCTTAGCCGCTAGTTAGGCGCAAATATATGCAGATGACGTTATCATTAATAAGAAAATAATTACTTGCATTCATCGACAATGAAAAACAAATCATTCGAACACAAGTGTGACTCGGTTGAGACTCCTCAAGAGGACGTTTATTAAGATATCATTTATATTATTTATCTGCAAATGACACAAAATACAATAACGGCGTTCCTTGTCCGCCAAATCTTGAGGGAATGTAGAGAATTAATTGATTGACTCTACATCAAACGTCGCAATGGTGTTGCTGAAAATGAAACGGAAATTTTCCTGAAAAAACTGCAGGCCACTCGGAAAATTCAAATATCATAATAATATTGATAGTAATGTTGTTGTAACGCATTAAATTGTTTTGTTAGGCTACACAGGGTGTAAATAACAGCCTAAAATTATAAATATCGAATTCATGAAAATGAAAATTATTCCACACAAAAAGAATTAATTAAGCGATAAGGTGTTCACAGCATACCTATTACTCGTAATATGTGTTACTCCCATTACAAAAGTTGTATCCTTTTTCCTGTAACTGCTTCATGTTTTAATTAACAATCTCATTACGTCGTTAGCAAATAGGCTCGCGTATTTGAAGGCTAACTACGAGTACTACGACTACATCAGCCCCTAGTAGTATGCCTTGTAGAAGTAGTTAGTATCTATTTACCTACTTCAAAAACAATTATTTACTTAAGGAAACATGATTATAAAATATTGTTTTCTAGAAAATGTCGACATAATACCTACTTACATAACTAGTTGTATTTATCATAGAACTAGGAAGCGGAATTGCTACATTGCTGTGGTACAGGGAGAGGTATGTATTAATGAATTGAAACATACTAGTTAAAACGTTTTACCTAGATAGATAGGTACATTTTACAGGAAGGTATGTTGGTACAAGTACGTACAGATTCTAGTCTAGTTCTTGGAAACGTTAAGCTTTTCAATTATTTGTATTTAATTAAACTTCATTACTTTGCAGCTTTGGTATTTGACAAATGTGGAAAAATTACGGTCTCAGGAAGAAATTCCATTGATGTTAAACTTATTAGAAGCATGGTCTATCTTTTGTGTTTAACCACAAAAAAGATCTCTCGTTATCAGATAGCATTATTACGCAAGATCGTGCAATCAATTTCGCATTTTTGTGTACATTCGTAAAAACTGCAGATAATGGTGACGATTGATTCCTATTTTCCAAAATCTGACACAAATTGATGCAACCTCAACAGATACGGCAATCATGACTGATAGTAGTTCAAGAGCAGTAGGTACTTTAAAGATAACTGATCAGGCGACACGTTGATTTATGAATCTTTTCAATATTGATGTGATTGTTATCTCTACTGATATTATAAAGTGAAGGTGAGTGCATTTTGACAGTTTGTGTATGTGGGGGGCTATGATAGCATAGGCACTCTAAGGTAAAGAGTAATCTAATACGTAATCAGAAGGTATAATGTAAAATATGCCTATTCATACTTTATAAGTTTACAAATAAATTATTCCTACAGAAATAATTGTAAAAAACATGAAACACATGACACATGAGTTAGACGCGAACAAACACTAATCTTACATTTCATTTGATTGTTACGACATGCTTATTCATTTTCGTATAATGTCAAAGATTGATTAAGCTCTATCCATAAAGTTAATATTGTGGATTGGGGCGTGTATGCGTTGCTCACAATAAAATTATACTTCAGGGTCAAAAACAGTAGAAATTGCAAAATAAAGACCAATTCATTGTATAATAAGGATTCTTTGTCAGGACCACGGAACTTTAATAATAATTAAATAAATATCCTTGGACATTTTACACTGCGCCGCTAGCCCCAAACTAAGCTAATCTTGTACTATGGGTATTAGACAACGGATATAAACATACTTTAGGTACTTTTTTTGTAAATAAATACATATTATACATAGAAGACACCCAGACTCGTCACATCGAATCCGGGAATCCCGCCGGGAATCGAAGCCGGGACCTCTCGGCATAGTAGTCCGTTCTGAACCATAACACCAAACGGCCGACAAGGTTAAAAAGGTGAAATAACTAATTAAGGTGTAAGAAAGTCCACTTAGATGGGTTATAATAAAATAAAATCGCAATGCAAAATAGCGAGGCTTACTACCCAATATGAATTTTATCATTATCACCAAGGCAACCGATCAAAGTGTCTCTAGGTAAGTACTTAAGTATTGCCTCGAAATAAAAAGAGACTCTATCTAAGATTGAATGCGGGCGTAAACGCGAGTTATAGGCTAGTTTTACATAAAATACACGACAGAGATCATTTCCAGAAACACTTAAATCTTAAGTATTCTTTTGAAATTACATCATCCTAAATTTACTACCTCTAAAAACAGACCGACGAACCGAAACAAAGTACCTACTTACTTAAACTTATGTATCCACATAATTATGACAGATGACTCTTGTTTTTGTATGATCACAAATTACTTGTAACTACTAGTACTAGCAGTTATTTTAACAAGTTATGATTAACTAATTCTATGATACCTATTCTATTTTGGGGCAGTCAAAATGATTGATAGATAGAGCAAAAACTTGCTAGCGTGTGTTAGTAACTCATTTTTAAACAGATTGCATAAGTGTCTTGCGAATCTTGCGATAATGTTTAACATTTCTTCTCGATATTTATAAATAGTCGAGTAATGATGTAATTCTGTTCATTGTCAAGAGCACCACTTCAATTCTTGTACTAGATTACGCAGCACATTTTTGTATGATGAAAAAACTTCAGTTTATTAATATTTCGGCTTAATTTTGATTTTTGTTAGATTGCATGATGTTAGTAGAGAACTAGAGAGATAAACAATCCTAAATACCAATATGTATAGGGGAATTCGCAGTAACTACGTGTACAATTATAAAATGTTGCAAATCCTTAGTTTGGCCGTCAATGAAACCCTGGAAGGTTCAGTAGTCCCGCGAATAACAATTAATGGAAACCCGCAATGAATTAAATCAGAATAATATAGGAGCTGAAAGTTCGAAGTATTAACCCATTTGTAAAACGGGAGACGGATGACTGATAAAAGTAAGAATGAGATTGAGATAATACCACAGACAGTTCAGATATTTCTAGCCCTATAACAAACTGGGAAGGTGCTTACCTATCCAAGATCCCATTTCGTCGTCTATCCTCATGGTGGAGTTTTCGTCCCTTAGCTGGGGCAGCGCCACGGCCGAGAAGCCGATGGGGTGGCCCGCTCCCGCCGCTAGGATCAGCACAGCCGATGTTATAAGACACTACAACAAATATTTACATGATTAAAGCTGAGTTGCACCACCTAACTTTAACGGTAACTGTAACGAATAACGATACCAGTGTATTTTTTATGGATTTTGACTGATTTGTGACGTTTGTTAATGTTAAAGTAAGATGGTGCAACCCAGCCTTAATGTTTATGCGACATTGCAACAACAGTCATTAAAGACGTTTAGTTTCAGTTATCCAGGTGGACATTATTGAGAATTTAGGCGCGTAACTGATCGATGCTCAAGTGTCCATTTAATTCCAAGCATAGGTAGAAGGATCCAACCAGTGGTGATAGTGATACAGGAATTACAATAATGATCGTAATAGCACAGGTATTCAGATCTCATCTACTTACTTAGGTACTGGTTCTAATTATGGTCTTTTGTCGCTTTTAAATCTATTCTACTTAGTGCCGATTTTCTAATCGTCGGATTAACTGAAGAATAAGTTTGGCACATTGACAGTTTCAATAGGAGAAATGGNTTTGAATTTTAATCTGAAAAGCATACTAGAACCCAAAAATTCATACGAACCTAACACATTGAAAAACAGAGTCATTAGTGAAATCTATAAAAGATTTGAGGGTTGGCATAAGATTTTTACTGATGGCTCAAAAAGTCCTCAAGGTCTGGGATCTGGTTTTTACGATCAAAAAATGGATGTAACAGCTGGTTTTAAAATTTTAGCACAGGTATCCATTATGACGCTGGAACTCATTGCAATATTTGAAGCCTTAAAATATGCGGTCGAAAAGAAATTTAATAAAATTGTTATTCTCTCCGATAGCAAAAGTGCTTTGCAGCATTTGGCTCGTTGCGCCTCTGGTTTCAGAGGTGTAACGATAGCCTATGACATTCTTAAGGTTATTCATAGTTTAAAAAGTACAAATATTGAACTCATGTTGCAATGGGTCCCAGCGCATATAGGACTACTGGGCAACGAAAGGGCTGACCTTGCGTCAAAGGAAGCAGCGCGCNAATTAAGTAATTTGAGACAATCATCCGTAACATTCCGAAGTCCGCTGTATAAATAAATTTCGGTGGATTGGTTCTTAATTCCGGTGGCTCAAATACAATTTCGGTGGCTCTTGATAATTTCAAATTGACATATCTCGAGAAGTATTAATAATATTTTGATCTCTACCATGTCATTGAATAATACAAGTTATTTACTATTATTTCTGCCACAAAAAAGTTTTGGAAAGTGGAAATTAAAATTCGCCACCGGAATTAGGCAAAAAACGAGTTTGTTGATATTCACCCATATACGTCAAAATGACCTGATGTTATTCTCCAGTTAAAAAATATCTGACGATTGAAATATCAGCCCTTAGTAATTTAACTACTAATTACTTCCTTTATAGAGATTTCTTAGGAGTTTTCTGGTTTGAACTTTGAATCTGCATATGTATTACGTATGCCGCGACTCATTTACGTCAACAGATTTATGTAAATATGTACCTTTTTTAATACCTACATCGTCTATGACTTTCTCGAATAACCAAGTAAAAAAAGCATATTTTTTACTTAGTTATTTTAGAGATAAAATACTCTGTTGTTACTTGCATAAAATGACATGCATGTAAGTATTGCAATGATTGGTAGAGCCTCTGTTTCCTAATCCTATGCCCGTTCGTTAAATGAATTCGTCCATAATAAGTAATTTTAGTAAGTATTTTCCTTTAGAAGTTGTGTTTTCAGCAAAGTCTGTTGGTGAACCTGTCCTTGTTTTATTTTCAAATTGCATCGTAAACTTATTAACTTTTCATGTATCAGTCTCTAGCAACGTCTCTAGGTATGTACAGCGACAGCATGTCAACGTAAACACTGTGGTATCTTACGTAGTTGTGATAGGGGCGACTTTGCAACGAAAATGTATAGTCTGATGTGCTTTCGACTGTACCTCCTATCCTAGGAAGACCAATTACTTAATAGTAATAGAGTGCTTTGATAAGTGTTGACACCACGAGAAGTAATGAAAAACTTCCATTCGCCATGTGTGTTAGCACGTGCAGTGTCTGCTGCTCACTCACATGCCAGCAATCTAGCTAATTGAGATCAAATGTATCATGTTTACACTTTTATCTTGCAAGAAGACTTAAGCGAAAATGATAAGTATATAAGTGCCTCCTACATGTACGATATTATCTTTTAATCGCGCGTAAGAATTAAGACTAAAGTGAGTAAGACCCTAGGGTCTCACTCTCAAGTTCGATTTCCAGTATGGTTAAAATGTTCTGCTCTATGTAGTCGGCGTTAGAGCTTTCCACAGCTTGTTATATGAAAGTGTGAAGATTAAATATCTTATTCCACACTATGCGCAATGTAGACTAGTAACAACAAGAAATGCAACATATACCTACATAGGTCTAGGAACATGCATCTCATGAATAGATACATATTAATGTATGGAATATGGATGTAATAAAACTGTTCTTTATGTCTACTCATAAGTATCTTTTATTTATTTATCGTGTGGTTTGAAACAGCTTTGTTAAGATAATGTAACGATTTTATAAGTACATACGTAACTTATATTATTTGAGATGCGAGTGATCACGATCTTGTTTTCTTGACTCAGAATAAAATAAAATTTTTCTATATCGAGATATTTTATATTAAATATTTTTTCCTTTTAAGAAGAATAATATTATTATTATTAATTAATCTAAATCCATATGACGTGTAGAGTCGTGCACGTCGATGCTGAAACAGCTACCAGTGAAATTCTCTATTTCTTCATTTTTTTCAACAATTAATGCAACTATCAAATTAACTCCGGAAAAAAAGAAAATTCGGCCGTTTGGTGTAGTGGTTCAGAACGGACTACAATGCCGAGAGGTCCCGGGTTCGATTCCCGGCCGGGCAGAAATTGAAATGATGAATTTTAATTTCTGTGACGGGTCTGGGTGTGACTATGTATAATATGTATGTATTTAATAAAAAAAAAAAAGTATATAAGTAGTATATCCGTTAAGCTAGCACCCATAACACAAGCATTAAGTTGCTTACTTTGGGGCTAGCTGGCGCTGTGTGAAATTGTCCAAAGATTTATTATTATTATTATTTATTTATTAACTTGTTACAGCTAAAGTGAAATTCTCTACTTCATTAACTTTTTTCTCAGAAATAATGCAGCTATTATAACAAACTACATGGTCAGTATAAAGTGTTACGGTTGATCGACTACGATGGAAGGATTCGCATGCTGCGGCCTCACTCCACTTTCCAAGTTTCGGGTCAATTGCTTTAGTCATTACTTTTTTTCCATAATTTACAATCATAAAACTGTTCTCTTGCAAAAGTTATAATTTTAAAAGATCTACTTAGGCTGGGTTGCACCATCTTACTTTGACTTTAACAAACGTCAAAAATTTGTCAAACTCCATACAAAATACACCGGATAACGTTATAGTTACTGTCAAAAGTTAGTTGGTGCAACTCAGCCTTATACTGTTATGTTATTTAAGATTAGATTAGATATTCCTAGAGGTCAATTACAAACAAATGATATCTACTAACTAGGGCATAAAATTACTATTGACCAGTGATTGAAAATTAAGGTCACCATATAGGTTACTTCATATTCTACAATATTTACCAGCGTAGTCATTACATTCATTTTAAATGTAAAAATTACACTATTTTAAGATTACGAAGTGTAAAGCTTCCGTGCCATCGTATGTAAATACATACAAAATATAGTATTCGTTGCATGGGTTCTGAAATCCATTGGAATAAATTCAGCTGATATGGGTTTGCCTTGACATTTATCATCCATATCCATTTGCATTTCCATCAAAAGTTTACCTACATTTGTCCGAGTCTCAGGAAAATGCATTTTAAAGTGCAGGTGTCTTCACCGACTGATCTTCTTTAACAATTATTTTTTTAATCACTGTCTAGAACCACAACATCGATGTTGGATTTCAGCATTCGGCATTCGCTTGAGTTCGCATAGACCCGAGTGAATCGTCTGTTAGNGCGCGCTCCTTGGTTTGACGATAATAAACTGAGTAGAAGTTACATCAAACTTGCACTACGCCTTCGTTCGGGACACTATCCATCGGCGAAGTTTGCATACCTAATGAAAAAATCTGATTCACCGAATTGCAGCACTTGTGATAAAATTGAGGATGTACAACATATGCTGATGGACTGTGTCAAGAATCGAACTGAAAGGGAGTCACTGTTTCAAGAGCTTCGATTAAATACCCAAGATGTGGGATTGGTGCAAAATATTCTAGCAGAGCCAAGGTCGGAAACTGCTAGAAAACTTTGCAATTTAATAAATTTAACAGAACAGTGACTCCTTTTATAAATTTAGGTAAGTAAATAAAGCTACCTAAATAGTACCTATTTTGACTTGTTTCTAAGTTAAGTATATTATTATGTTGTTTGTAAGTGAAGATACAATGGGGCTGACATATCCATGTGGATAAAAGCCCCAAATCAAATAAAGAATAAAAAAAAAAAAAAAATTCCAAGCATACCTAGAAGGATCCAACCAGTGGTGATGGTGATACAGGAATTACAATAATGATCGTAATAGCACAGGTATTCAGATCTCATCTACTTACTTAGGTACTGGTTCTAATTATGGTCTTTTGTCGCTATTAAATCTATTCTAATTAGTGCCGATTTTTCAATCGTCGGATTAACTGAAGAGAATAAGTTTGGCACATTGACAGTTTCAATAGGAGAAATACGTCAAAATGACAAGTTTATTCTCCAGTTAAAAAATATCTGACGATTGAAAAATCAGCCCTTAGTAATTTAACTACTAATTAGGTACTTCCTTTATAGAGATTTCTTAGGAGTTTTCTGGTTTGAACTTTGAATCTGCATATGTATGTATGCCGCGACTCATTTACGTCAATAGATTTATGTAAATATGTACCTTTTTTAATACCTACATCGTCTATGACTTTCTCAAATAAGCAAGTAAAAAAAGCATATTTTTTACTTAGTTACTTTAGAGATAAAATACTCTGTTGTTACTTGCATAAAATGACATGCAAGTGACTATTGTAAAGATTGGTAAGAGCCTTTGTTTTCTTTGCCCGTTCGTTAAAATTCGTCCGCCGTGTTTATTTTCAAATTGCATCGTAAACTTATTAACATTTCATGAATCAGTCTCTAGCAACGTCTCTAGGTATGTACCTCCTAGGAAGACCAATTACTTTAATAGTAATAGAGTGCTTTGATAAGTGTTGACACCACGAGAAGTAATGAAAAACTTCCATTCGCCATGTGTGTTAGCACGTGCTGTGTCTGCTGCTCACTCACATGCCAGCAATCTAGCTAATTGAGATCAAATGTATCATTACACTTTTTCTTGCAAGAAGACATAAGGGAAAATGATAAGTTATAAGTGCCGCCTAGATAATACGATATTATCTTTTAATCGCCTCTGTAGGCTAGTGGTAAGAATAATTAAGACTAAAGTGAGTAAGACCCAGAGGTCACAAGTTCGATTTTCTGTACGGTTAAAATGTTCTGCTCTATATAGTTGGCGTTAGAGCTTTCCATAGCTTGTTATAATTATGTAAGTGTGAAGTTTAAATATATTATTCCACACTATGTAGACTGGTAACAATAAGAAATGCAACATATACCTATGTACATAATATATAGGTCTAAGAACATGCATCTCATGAATAGGTAGATAGATATTTATGTATGGATGTAATAAAACTGTTCTTTATGTCTATTCATATGTATCTTTTATTTATTTATCGTGTGGTTTGTAACAGCTTTGTTAAGACAATGTAACGATTTTATAAGTACATACGTAACTTATATTATTTGAGATGTGAGTGATCACGATCTTGTTTTCTTGACTCAGAATAAAATAAAATTTCTCTATATCGATATATATTAAATATTTTTTCCTTTTAAGAAGAATAATATTAATCCTTAATTAATCTAAAATCATAATGACGTGTAGAGTCGTGCACCTCGATGATGAAACAGCTATCAGTGAAATACTCTATTAATTAATTTTTTCAACAATTAATGCAACTAACAAACTTAACTTACAGCTAAAGTGAAATTCTCTACTTCATTAACTTTTTTTCAGCAATAATGCCGCTATTATAACAAACTATATGGTCAGTATAAAGTGTTACGGTTGATCGACTACGATGGAAGGATTCGCATGCTGCGGCCTCACTCCATTTTGCAAGTTACGGGTCAATTGCTTTATTCACTTCTTTTTTTATTAATTTTCTGTTCTCTTGAAAAAGTTATAATACAATTTAAAAGATCTACTTAGGCTGGGTTGCACCATCTTACTTTGACTTTAACAAACGTCAAAAATTCGTCAAACTCCATACAAAATACACCGGATAACGTTATAGTTACGGTCAAGTTAGTTGGTGCAACTCAGCCTTATACTGTTATGCTATTTAAGATTAGATTAGATATTCCTAGAGGTCAATTAAGTAACAAATGATATCTACTAACTAGGGCATAAAATTACTATTGACCAGTGATTGAAAATTAAGGTCACCATATAGGTTACTTCATATTCTATAATATTTACCAGCGTAGTCATTACATAGAGTCGTAGAGTCGTAGCGTAGTCGTTTTATTCTGGTAGGCTACCCATTTGGTATTGTAGTACCCATTTTAGGCCTTTCATAGAAGGCTTACCACTTTTTTGAGACTGGGAATTACCTTAGCACATCAGAATACATAATTTTTTATGTAAAAAATGACACTATTTTAAGATTAAGAAGTGTAAAGCTTCCGTGCCATCGTCTGTAACTACAAAATATTGTATTCGTTGCATGGAATAAATTCAGCTGATATGGGTTTGCCTTGACATATCATCCATATCCATTTGCATTTCCATCAAAAGTTTACCTACATTTGTCCGAGTCTCAGGAAAATGCATTTTAAAGTGCAGGTGTCTTCACCGACTGATCTTCTTTAACAATTATTTTTTTAATCACTGTCTAGAACCACAACATCGATGTTGGATTTCAGCATTCGGCATTCGCTTGAGTTCGCATAGACCCGAGTGAATCCTCTGTTAGGGCCATAAGTATAATGCGTAGACAATAGAAAATCAATTGTATTTAGCCGCGAGTCAATTGTTTCTATTGTGTCTTCTTGTACGGTGTTGACGTATTTTATTATCAGACTGAAGTTTTTAGCCCCGTTTAGTGGCGTGGTGATTGCCTGGAGTGAAAGATGTTCCTGGTTCGATTCTAGTCGTATGTGAGTGTGCTAGGACAAAGTTCCGAGTGTATAGACTTTATTATGCAAATTGGTATGAAGTCACCGATATAGTCTATGATCACGGCCTTGACCGCTAAACAAACCCAAACAGTTAAGTAGGTACCCAGGTATGGTACAGGTAGTCTAAATATAGTTTGCAGGTAGGACTTCCAATGATTGGAAGTAAGGTAGTTGTCCGTGACTAGTCGACTAGCCACCTAAGGGGAGTTAATTACTCAAAGTACTTGGCTTAGTCAATAGAAACTATAATTAACAAATGCTATCAATTAATTTATTGGAAAAAACTAACTAAAAGTATTACTTTTCTTGGAAATCTGTCAGCGAGAGCTCAAGGAGGCTCAAGGTGTCTGTCAGATGGAGGTCACTGTTATTTAATTCAATTAATTTTATTAATACAAGCGTAAGTTTTATGTCCTACGTAAAAAGAAGTTTATTAATATTATTTTAATGCACTTAATCGGTAGATAATGGCTATTTGGCAGTATTCTCTCACAAACAAGATAATGCTCTACATTTTGTGTCAATTGAATTTGGCATGTTATCTATGTATAAATAATAATAAAACACTGAAAGAGACTTTGTCCCGGTGACCTGTAAGATTTCAAGGACATGCATTGAGATGATGCTATTATTATTCAGGCTTATATTTTTATTAAACTTTTAAATAAAAATATTTGAATCCACTAAAACCGAATCGTGAGGGATTAGATTAGACTTGGCCGACTCGGCATCCGAGGAACTCGTTTTTGAACCCTGTTGCCGCTCGACTATTGTGGTGAACCCACTCGCAACATAATTAGAAATTAGCTTAGTACGAGGGGTTAACTCACATGACTATGAAATTAGTAGATAATTTTACCACAAATTCATCATCATTTCAGCCGTAAGACGTCCACTGCTGATCATAGGACTCCCCTAATGACTTCCATATTGACCGGTTTGTAGCGGCCTGCATCCAACGCCTTCCTGCTACCTTATGAATGTCTTCGGTCTACTTTGTGGGTGGTACACAAACTACTATTCAAAAATTATTCTTACCTGGTTAAAAACACCTCTGTAGGAGGAGTAAGTCTCTCCCTTGACGTAGGGCGGGAGAGTGGCGGTAGAGCTGATGCTGCGAAGAAAGCTTTGTAGAGCATCATAGTCGTCCTGTTTCCTGGTTTCCTTCTTTGTGATTTGCGGCTTGTGCTCGTCGCTGAGCATGGACTCGTGGGCTCCATCACTGTCGACAAAAACACATCTATACTAATATTATAAAGCTGAAGAGTTTGTTTGTTTGTTTGTTTACTTGAACGCGCTAATCTTCGAAACTACTGGTCCGATTTGAAAAATTCTTTCAGTGTTAGATAGCCCATTTATCGAGGAAGGCTATAGGGTATACAACATCACGCTACGATCAATAGGACAATGAAAAATGTTGCGAAAACGGGTTTTCACGCGTACGAAGTCGCGGGCACAGCTAGTGTAATTTATTAACTATGTGCAAGAACGAAGGTATGTAAAACTAAACGCTATAAATGACTCAAAAATACATGTAATTTAATTCATTACTCTACGTGTCAGAACGAAAGTATGACTGAACACTTTGGTACTTTTATGTAAAATTTGGTGCGATTCTACAGTCTAATGTTCGTCTACAGTAGATAATAGCAAATCGCGGAAGTAGCTGTGTCGTTATGTTTACAATTACTATAAATTTATTATACGTTGTAGTATTTTATTTAGTTTCTATATTATATGCGAAATAAAGCCAAAAGACAGTAAGTAAGTATACCTATTATAAATAAAGAAAACCTAGGTGATTTCAATGACTATGAAAAAACAATGTAATCAGTTTCTTCATTTAATTTACCGTTCATTGTATTTTTATCACAAGATAAACACCAATACCTAGTGAAAATACGTTGAAAATATAAAATAGTAAAATAATCAGTTAGTATCTAATACTTAGTTTAACTCTGTTTTTATCGCAAGAAAAATATTCGTTAAATACAAAATCCGTTTTGTGACTAAGTACTAAATAAAATAAAATTAGAGTAAGCATGAAAAAATTTATTACAAAACCAAAATAGGCATTGAATAAGTACCTAAGTAATCGAGGTATTTATTTGCGAGATTTACCTTAATGAATCGATGTTTTTTGTGCTTGCAAATTTTAGTCACATGACTTTACTTTTACCTACATACTACGTAAATATGGAATATGGTTTCGTGTTTGTTGGAAAATTTTATGTTCTCTAGATTTTTGGCAAATGTGCGTAAGAAACATCTTCCTCAACAGGACAGGTCTGCAGGTCTGTCTTTTGTTCTGTACTACTTGATTTGGCAATAAATTTTTTCATTTTGATTTTGAAACAAGTTCATGATTAAATTACACTTTCGACAACAGTAAAAGGTCAGGCAGGCTGCAATCACGCTAAAGATTTAGTAGGTTTACTAAATTAGAATTTTTATATAATGTGCATCAGAATGCTCTTCTAATATCATAATAGATTCACTCGGGTCTCATGTCAAGGAACGGGCTTGTTTACGAACATGTAAATAGCTATTTACAAAAATGATGACCATTGCCAAGCACTAGCAAAGACAACGTCTATCCTGACCTTGTGGTGATAGTAGCGGCCAAATCCAAAAATAAAAAGTCATACGTGCAAATAGCACATTAATCACGAATTACTAAGTACATAGATAGGTACATACAATTAGGCATAACCTATCTCTAGGTTACGTTTGGTAAACAAAATTCTTAAATGCTGATAGGTACTTAAGTACCTCAATTTAATATTTTTTATCATACTGCATACGACAAACGCATGTCGCCAAAAACGCAGCTACTTATAGCTAGTGTTTCATCTAATACACTGACTTATAGTAGAGCTAAACTAAGGTAAATGCCGTTTCATAGTTTAGACTTATTAGCAATTTAATCCTTTTTATTGACCTATCGGTAGTTGGTACCTACATTTCGTGAACATTGTTACACAATATTAATTTCAATTTGTTCAGCGCGTCAATCTCAATATTTTACAACACACTGATCAAGATCACTAGTTTATTTATTGACTGACCACTGTGATCAGTCAAGTTTGCACAAACAGGCCAAACAAGACTTTCATTGATTGAAAACGATTGCAACATAATGCCTTGTGGTAGGATTGTTGATAATTTGTAGAGTCATAGTTGACTCTACTATTGACGATACATACCTACTTATTATAACTCAAAGATTATCTATCAACAAAACAGTTAATTGATTACTGCATTCGATATATTACTCTGCTATTCATTACACTTGTAAATTAGAACCAAAAGTCAAGCCAAGTTATTCGGTAATTAACATTCACTATACGTGCTATTAACTACTTATTAACATTCGCCTTGACATAACATTGTAATAATGTAGAGTTTGAAGTGCAGATGATTCGAATCCTGAATTAAGATAGAGCAGAAAACATTATCCTATTTTAGCTAACATTATACAATTAAATACTTATATTATTAATTGTAACCTAATTTACTGAATTGTCTCGAAATATAAAACATCAATTACATCTATTTTGGAGTACCTAAGTTAGCTAATACCTTATGTATGCAATTTTGTTTATCTTTGAAACAATACCTACTGAATTAAAAAAAGCTTCTTTAATACTTTGACTTGTTAATTTATTCAGTATAATTATTTAAATAAGTAGGTATAATGTGTGGAACGGTGATTGTGATAAGTAGGTACGTTAATTAATTAGTTAAGTGATTGGATATTGAATAACAAGCGAGATGCAAAATTAAAATCATTTAAATTAAGCCAGCAAATCAAAAGGCTTCTATTACAGAAGCAGGTCAATACAAGCAGTAAACAGCTTACAAAGGTCTTTTGTGTGCAATAGGTACAATGACTTGTTAACAGAGATCAGTTTTATTCACTGAGATAACTTAATTAGCAATAAAGTAGGCTAACATAGTGGAGGGGACTACATCGGTACACAATCTTACAGTAAGAAGGTTAATATTACATTTGTTTTGTAAAATTTTATCCGGAATTCACAATAACGTGTTAGGTACCTATACTTAATTTTAAAANTTTAAAAAAAAACTTTAAAAAACAATGAAAAGCGCTGTAAACATAACCCTCCTTCTGGCGCAGTCGGGTAAAGATTGGCACTAACCAAGGTTTGATTATGGGGACGTGAGCGTAAAAAAAATGAAAATTTACCTTTGAACTTTCACTATTTTTAATTTTCGTCGACAGTACACAGCATAACCAAACACTATTAAAACCATTTTAATATTAGTATTATGACGTATTCTCTTGAATTATTATAGAGCAGGATCGCGTCTCACTTCTGAGGATACTGGAAGCGACTGCCGAGTCGTAAATACAGTCTTTATCTTTGAACCCTTAGGTCACAGAACAGAATAAGGAACCACCATTTGTAACAATTGGTGGGATATACGAGTACATACAGGCTGTCCCAGAATGGGTGAATCAAACTGCTAGGGGAGGTAGCTCTACTAATGTACTATCCCTAAAAAATATGAAAAAAAATTCATTCATTCATTCTGGGACACCCTGTATAAGTAATAAATTTTATTGTAACAGAGATGGGTACTTTTTCAATGTACTAACTTACCTTACCTAAACCCGTGTGAAAGAGTTCGTGCTCATCAAACAATCTTAGAGGATCTTAGAGGAGGGCAGATACTGCACTACGCACTGGTAATTTGCTAGAATCTCGCCTAATCTTTGGTCTTCCCTGTATATAGGGCATATTAGGTTATGGGTCATGTAGGATTATCTACTACGCACAAAACATTAGTTAAATCGGTACTACTGGTTGGAAATCTTTTCTGATGAAAAATTATCATATAAATTATTATAAAATATTACTCTTACTAATCTNCCAAAAGTGGTAAATGGGTTAACGTGCGGGGGCTGCAAAATCATGTTGTGACGTCACGCGCGAATATTGGAAATTTTTGAAAATTTTAAAAAGTCCGTAAACTTCTCGAGGCTCTATCTTCGGTAATACTGGATGGATTGAGGTGAAATAAAAACTAGTGTAATGTGTGTGATCTAAACTTTAAATTAAATCAATATTTAACTTAATATTACAACTTATGCGTGTTGTCCATTCTATTTTTATGTACTTTCCCAGACTAAGATAAGCTTAACTCTAAATTTAGCATTACCAATGTTATTGAACTTTAGGCTAAGTTTAATGGCAGTAATTTATTTCAACTGTACTGTACGAAGAGAAGCATTATTATAATAATGCGACTCCATGACATATTTCTATGTACCTAAGTAATCATTGTATCTATAACATTGAAGTAAATTCTTGGAGAAGGCCTTTGTCCAGCGGTGGATTTTTAGCTGAAACGAACGAACGAACTAACATAATAAGTATTTCAACAATTTACGAAAGATGTTCATTGTTCAGTGACAACGACAATAAAACATAAAGGAAAGAAATATCAATGTAGGTATGATCATGTCTCCCACATGAAGTATATTGACATCCACTGAACATGTCCAAGTGAACGTAAACACCCATAAAAGCGAGACTGTTTACTATTATGTGTCATCCAGGTTTACTCGAGCTACCTGCAGTGTGGGTTGTGCCTTATTAGATGCCATGATGATGTCAATCTAGACTGACCGGGGTCGAGTCGATTGTACATAGGGATTACCGACTACCAAATAGGATTAGAATCCAGAAAAATCCATCTATCCATCTGGGCGATAAGACCGCCTAGTTGCACCTTGTGTGTTCCTTTTCTTTTTGTTATGTTATTTGTTTGGTGTGCAATAAAGTGTATTTATTATTATTCCTTTATTTATATTTTTGTCTTAATTTTAAATATATTTTTTACAATGTAAATTACAAAAGAAAAAGTTATAAAAATACATTAAAAAAAAACACTTAAAACTAGTTTATCCGCCGGCAGTGGAGCAAGACCCAAGCTACCGGTGATCAGGGTCATAGGCTGAGGAACCTCCGGACAATGCGTGCCGTGCTGAGGATCACCGCCTTTTGCATCTGACCCTTGAGCCAACCATCCAGCGAGAGCTTCTTTATTTATTATTTTTTTTACTTTACAGAATACCTCTAAAAGTCGTGAAGTCGAGAGCTTAGCCTCATTTTCTGAAGACTAAAAAAACAAAATATCGGATATTAATAAACGAATGATTGATAGACCCAGGCTTTAACATAATATCCTTTGTACGTAACGTAAACATCGCGCATGTCATATGATTAATTTCTTTTTTAACGGGCCGAATAAAGGTAAATAATATGCAGATCAATTCGTCAATAATGTCCCAAGAATTATCGTGTATCAATCATTATTATCTTTCTGGTTTTTATAAAAATAGGTTGATTACACCGTTTGGGCTAACCTTTTTATCAAATCTGATTTAAAAAAATACACAAGTCGAGAGCACCCTAGCTAACCCATGGAGTTCCTATACATTTTCCGGTCGAGTACCCAAGTTTATTTTAGGTCGCCCTTGACTCAGGCACACCGCGCGACATTTCCTAGAAGTAAACACCATAATATAGTGGCCGAGTACAACATAATAAAGAACATACCTAGCCCCCGTTGCCGCATGGTTAATAATTCCTTCGACCCGATGGTATTACCTATTGATCGAAGAAAAAATGTGTTCGCATGATCGGGGAAGTGCAATGTCTGTGACAGGTGATTTATTGGCAAGTGATATTAGTTTTGTACAGCTGTCAATCGCCTTATTCACAAACATTACTATGAGGTCTCACAGTGCGCGTGAATGCACAGGGTGATACATGTACCAATCACAGAGTTCTATTCAACGCTGTGCGTTCAATTTGCTGCTTTATTTAAACAAGTATTGTTTGTGAATACGGGCGAATGTATCAACTTCGAAGACTACGCAACAATTTATTAAACAAAGACAAAGTAATGTTTATTGGCTATTTCTTGGCAGAAATAAGGCTGTAGAGATAATTATATTTCTTCTAACAATAAACTAAAAAGACGGCCTTTTCGTTATCAAGATCGATATCGTAATTTTGATGAAGGTTCTCTTCATACTTAATTAAATAAGTTAGGTGTTAGAACAATTAGGCTTACAAGAGGTATTTGGTATTACGTTCAAATGCCGATCATAACTTATTGCTTACGAATAGTTTCCAATAACTAATCGCAATTATTTCTCTTGTTAATATTCTGATCAGGTTCCTAATTATTGGAAATACATAAAAGAAAGTTCTGCGAATGGGTAAATACACTTTAGTGAAGTTATTTAAACGACGTTTTGACTTTTACTTTTAGACCAGATGCTAGAGGCTCGGGATAATTGATTGATAGTGAGTCCTTACGTCAACGTAATTTGTTTTATTTAATTTTTTTGTTATACTTACCGCCAAACTATTTTTTCTGCATAACCCAAAGGTAAACTAGATGAGAATGCCTTATGGCGTTAAGTTCGCCTAATGTTAATATTTTTGGCATTGAAGTATAAATAAATAAATAAAATAAATAGTTAGCAAACGTAACTTACTACTACTTAACCTACATTAAATAAAAGTCCAAATTTTGGACCCAAATGAATTTGGGACATAGTTTTCCTTCTGACCTCTAGTTAATGTTTATAGCTAACTATCTAAATAGTTCTACAGAGGTCAAACGATTTTTATACATTTTATAACAAAAATTAGCTCTCTCTTTCGTATTATCCGAAACAGCCTTTGAGGATTTGATATAAATAAATCAAAATCTCCTCTTCGAATTTTCTTCGAAATACCGGTATTTTCTTTCATAACATGACAAATGGTTCCCCTGTTGCCTTGACTCTGAGCCCTTTGACTGTGGAATAAAGTAAGCTGCGCGCCTAGGGCCCGTAAGCTCCAAACGTTTAAGCAATAAATACCAATATCAGTTGATATTTATCAACTACAAACAAGTAAATACCAACATTAATCGCACTGATAAATCAAATAACAAAAGCTAATCAACCTCTTAATTTATTATCATGCTTTAGAGCAATAAGACTAAGGCCGAGTTGTACCACCTAAATTTAACGGTAACTATAACGATAACCGGTGCTTTTTGTATGGAGCTTGGCAGATTTTTGTTAAAGTTAAAGTAAGATGGTGCAGGTGCAGAATAGCTCTAACTTTTACCCATTTGTCTTCGCCGTAAGACTAAGCGACCTATTTTTTCAGCACAAATACCTATGATATTTTTCTATGCGATACTTATCGACATTTTAAAATATAGCAAATATTTTACAGCGTGATTTAAATATTTAATAATAATAATGAACATTGAACAACTGAATTTAAAGCACAATCCTCGACGACTCATTTTGTAAAGCTTTTCAAATATTTATACGTTTGTGACGTCCCTAGCCTCAATGAGGACAACTCATAAAAGCTAATGAGCCTCATATGACTTATACGAGTACATCAACAAGAATAACAACCAAGAAACCATAAACTTTGAAATAGCTTCAACACTAAAAATATTGCAAGTCTGAGACTGGCTCGTCTTTTATAATACTTGCTGTTTAATACATAAGAAACGCTACATAATACAAAGGATCATAACTAAGGGCAAATGTTGAAAAGAAAGTTAACCCAGTTTCTATTATGCTGGCGAAGGTACAAATGGGATTAAGCACCCTTTGCAATTTTAAATTGAGAACAAAGCTTTGAAAATGCGGATAAACGAAAAAGGTGCAATGTGGTGAAGAATGATGGAAATATATCTGAAGTTGTGTGTTCACAAAACAGCAGAATATCTGTTTTCAGTATTTCCCCTTGCCTGACTTCCCATTAAAAGACGTATCTAGTTTCTATTGCTCAGAGAAAGGTCACGCAACAAAACAGTCTCAATGGGAACAGTAAAGTGGAGTTCCAGCTACCTTAGTGAGTCTATTACGAGCATAGCGAGGTTCTAGTAATCTAGTTGCAGGCGAAATGGGCATCTATGTGCAAAGCTTTTAGTCACATAACCGTAAATCATCTACACTAATATTATAAAGAGGAAAACTTTGTTTGTTTGGTTGTAATGAATAGGCTCAAAAACTACTGGACCGCTTTTAAAAGTTCTTTCACCATTCGAAAGCTACATTAGCCACGAGTAACATAGGCTAAATTTTATTTTGGAAAAAATAGGGTTCCGTAAAATATGTACATAATGTAGTCCACGCGCGCGAAGCCGCGGGCGGAAAGCTAGTAGTTAATAAATCGGGTGTGATACAAGCCAAGAGCTTCCTCGTTGTGGATAAAAAAAATCATACGATTTCAGTAAGATCTGTGCGGTTACAAAGCTGAAACAAAGGGAGAATATTCGAGAGCATTTACGAGTAAATAATATCTAACGTCACCGAATTCCTTTGTGATTTCCTGTACCCAAGCAGGCATAATTAGGTATGATCATTTTCAACTCATCGTGACAAAACCTAAAAGCTTGTAACTGTAACACAATAAAAAGCACAACGTACACGTATTAAATATCTAAAAGGTTTATTCAGATACATTTTTTCACCTGTCATCTAATTTGGAAGTCGATACTTAGTTATGAACTCTTCCTATGTACCTCTTTAGTTAGTACAGGTTCAATAACAGCTTAACTACCCTCCACTCTGCTTCCACTGGTTGAATTTTATTGGCCATCAAGTAGCAAATGCTGTCCACACAGGAGTTGCAGTGTAGAATAGAGAAAAAGTTCAGTTAGAATTTTTAAATACATAGCCCGACGGATTAAC